ATCGACTGCATAGCCTCATTGAAGCAGGCTGTTTCTTCCAAACTCCTTCGAAACTGGTACACCGACATGTAGTCATAAAAGTACCAAGAGAAATCTTCGTGCCAGAGGTTGGCCACGCACAGCAGCTGCAGCTGGTGTCCGTAGGGGTCTGGGTGCTGCATGCTCTCCCACGCATGCGAGACGCTGATGATTCTGTACTTCTTCCGGTATAGAGGATCCTACACTGAACTTGGAACCCTAGCAAACACCTGAATTTTAGCTGTCTCTTAGGAAGTACAATGCCCAAGTATTAAAATGATTCCCAAGCATGCCTAAGGCTCATTCCTCCACTGCCAGAGGTCCGCTTGGCTGACGAAGCCATCCTGGGGGCCGGTTTGTTTAGGAAGCTTCAAAACCACCTGGAGGGGTTCTTGCATGAAAAACAATAGGGCTCAGGGGTTGGGGTTTGGGGGTTCGGGTTTCGGGGGGTTAGGGTTTGGGCTTGAGGGCAGCTCCGCATCCAAGGAACGTTGCTTTCGGCCTCCACTATCTCTTGGCATCTGGGCAGACTCCTTCCAGACTCATAGAGCTTCTTCAAGTACGTGCCCTTGATGAGTCGCATCATCTTGCCATCCATCTTCAAGAGCAAGTCGGCCAGGCTAAGAGGGCTGGATAGATCTGCAGCAGTTCCGACTTGGCGGTCTTCTCGCTCACTTGCACCTGAATCTCTTAAGCCCACATTTTAAGCGGCGAATCATGACGGTTCTCCTAGCGGGCGTCGACTTACCCTTGGCCAGATTTGCCTGAACGCTTAACCGATGTCGGTCACAACTTTTTGATCAGTCAATGATGAAAACCATGACTCTTCGTAGGGACAGGGGGGGCGAGAAAACATCATGAGGGGCCGGTCTGCACCAGCACAGGTCCTCCAGGCCAACCCACAACCCAGGCAACACGGTGTTGGTCACCGTTTATATGCCCGAGTCGGTGGATTATCACGGCCACGACGTAGGCACAATGCCGGAACTTAACTCCCAAATCCAGCGTTGGCAGTCTTGTGATTTCAGCATATCAGTCAGACGTTCTTATCATTGCATTCATTTGGGGGGGTATGCGAAAATAAGGGACCCCAACTAGAGACCCCAAGATAACAGGATTCCCTTATAATACGGGCCCAAGAAGGTACCCCTATTTTTCGGAATCCCCCATTTCCGTCAGCCGCCCTGGCCTGGAGGGACTCCAGCGCAGCTGCTTGCGTGTTCTTGAAACTACGTGTTGTCGGGCTCGGGAGTGTAGCAAAGGGTCAGAAAGCATGCCGCGGGAAAGGATACAATCATGCAGGTGAAAGGACCCAAAAATGCATGAGAAAACATGTAAAGACAACCGCAAAATTCCGACCTGTTTCGGCATCTCCATCTCCGGGGTTGAATTGCCCAGCAGTGAGGCGCTGGCTGCTGGCATGAGCCCGATTTCGCCTTTTGAGGCAAACGAGTTCAAGCACGACTGCCTCGGTGACCGGGTGAACACAAATGGCTGCTGATCGTGCAATAGTCGCATTCACAAAGTGAAGGCATCGCTCTGGAGCTGCGGGTTTGCGTTGGCAGCTGCTTCTGCTCTATTAGGGTGGCAACGATGCCAACATCTCATGCGCAGATGGCGATGGTGAAAACACAACCCCTCTGCTGTTTATTGAGAGAGCAATGAGAGGTAGTGCCAGCTAAGTCAAGCTCGGCACAGGGTCGTGATTGATGCACGTCCTTAGACCACATGGCCAATCACCACCCACAGGGTTCTGTGGACAAATGGAAAACGACGGTGACACGATCACCTCCGCCCGCCGCTGCCGCGCGGCCACCGCGCCGCGAACAACGACGACCAAGCGCCAAGCAAGCGCCAAGCAACCGCAGACAGCCACACCAAAGGCTCTAGGGTTCAGGGTTCAGGGTTTAGGGAACGACACAAACAACAACGACGACCACCGCACCCCCACTCGCTCGACTCGATGTATGGCCATCCGCGAGATGCCAGCTCAGCTCGCTTGAGCCACCTCCACTGTTCCTATCGCACACTTCCGTCTGCAGCACTTCTTACATCTAAGTAGCTTGGCCCTTGCCACGGTTTCCCCCCCGGCTAGAGCCACTCAAGCGACTGAAGCGTTAGAGGCTCGGCTGCCTCCAACTGTAGGACGCGCGAGGCCAGGGATAATCAAGCATGTAATATAGGGGCCTCAATAAACATAACACGGTTTTGGGGGGTATTATAGTATAAATTATAAAGGGACCATACAATGGAAAACTGGTTGCAATTGATTCCGACCCCTGTAGTACATAAAGGCGACAGGGGCCAGGCCCTGCAAGACCCGACATGTTCTCGCTTCCACGGTGCGGCACCCTTTTCAGTTCTCTACATTATGGCCCCCCTTTTTGGGCGCCCGCCATAGTAAGGGGCCGCCTTATAAGAGCAACCCCCCCCCACTTGGACCTTAACGCTCAGGAACAGGGAACAAGAAACAAGAAAACCCCCCCGAAAAAGGGACCATCGTTTAGAGAAGTGACCACACAAAGGGAGGGGGGTCAGCTCCACGCCTTTTTTTGCTTTCAAGTCGATAAGGCGCTGCGTGGTCTTTCACTTCGTGTTCGATCGCTACTGCGAGGCAACACGTGGTGAAACAGTGCAGTCTGATCTGAACACCAGACAGAAAGCCCTACGACATCACCCTAACCTAAAAACGTCAAAGATGTTACTCCAATTCCACCAACCCTTGTCCCGAAGTTCCAGGCCAACGAATAGGACGAAGGCCACTTGGGATTTTCCTCCCTTATTCTAACAGTCCTTAGTAGGGATTGTAGTACCCCCTACTAATGCCTGTTAGGGACTGTTAGCATAAGGGGAAACATCCCAAGAGGTCACCATCACCACCATACCAGCACTCGAAGAACCGAACGTCCTCCGGCCTCCGAGCCGTGCGACCTTGCGCACCGAATGGGCGTACCGGCCTGGTCCGGAGACCTCATATGGGGGTTTCCAGGGTATCTCTTTGAAGGGAATCCCTCTATTTGGGGTCGATATAGGTGTCCCTGATTGTCGTAAACTCCCAAATAGCCGCCTTAATAATGACAATAGGAGGTTACCTGGGTTGCAAAATATATTTAAAAGGGGGGGGGGGGCTTCTTTGCTAATCTAGGACGCCGAAATCCCCCCAAAAAAGCCAGATGTGAAGGAGGATAGAAGTGCAGGCCCCCGAGGCTCCCCCCAAAAACGACCAAACTTGTAACTCTACAGTTGTAAGCATGGGCCTTAAGGTTTAGGGTTTAGGGTTTAGGGTTTAGGGTTTAGGGTTTAGGGTTTAGGGTTTAGGGTTTACCCTTGACATGGGCCAACCTGTTTTTGGTGAGAGTAGAGGAGCCCTCCGAGGTACATGTCAGGTATGCAAGAAGTATATAAGGCCCTAAACCCTAAACCCTAAACCCTACACCCTAAACCCTAAACCCTAAACCCTAAACCGTAAACCCCTCAAAGCCAAGAGCTCATATTGGGGGTTGCCGGCCTTTTTGGGGTCCTGGTCATAAAGGCATCCTACTATTTAAGGGACGCTATTAGGGGTCCCTTGTTTTCGCAAGCCCCCATATTCCAAAGACCCTAGACAAGATTTATGCCCTGCTAGGGTTTAGGTGCAAAAGGAGGGTGTTCCTAAGTGCACTGAGGGGAAAAGTGCTGGTCTCCGGGCCTTAAGCGGCCTTAGGTCATTAACCTGCCGGGCAGAGCAGTGGCCGGCAGCTTCCCACAGAGAGTGGGGGATCTCCAGAATTGGGGTGTGGGTTGACGACCCAGCACCCCAGATACGCCGAAGTCATTGAAGAGCAGCTCTGCTTTGCAGAGGTGCTGGTGGGCGGAAGCTGCCAAAAAATCCGAGCCCCCACCCACAGAAGTAAACTTTCGGACTTCTTCCGCGATCAGCCTTCGCCAGCCCCTGATCCTGAAACCTCAGAAAGCAGGTTCGCCCCAAACCTTGCAAAAGCCCCTGGTTCTCAGTAGGGAATGAGGGAATGGAGCCCTATTTATACTCTTTAAGGGATTCTATAGGGTACCTCATTCCCTCATTCCAGACTAAGAACCAAAGCACACCTCCATGCGCTGATGATGCTGAAGGCCGACCTACAGCACGGCCAGTTTGCAAACACTCTGCCGCGGCGGGCCAGATGAAGAAGCTAATACTTAGAGCGCGGATGCAGTCTCGAAACGACTTGGGTTTAGGGTTTTAGGGGTTTTAGGGTTTAGGGTTTTAGGACCCTTTAAAGGCCCTATTCACGAAGTGACAGCCTGTCAACCGCACATCTTTCACAAGCTTCCGATCCAACCGCCACAGCAGCGCACCGGCACCGCTAATTTTGTCAGTACAAACGACGCACAGCTCTTCTTCACAAAGCCATCCAGCAGGCATCCAAAGTTCGTCTCAAAGGCTCTCTTTACATCCAGGCCTTGTGTGCTCTAAGCCCTACAAGCCCTAGACGAACAACTACCCCAAAAAGTATAGCTCCTTGGAATACATAGAGCCTAAACCCTAACCCTAAACCCTAAACCCTAAACCCTAAACCCTAAACCCTAAACCCTAAACCCTAAACCCTAAACCCTAAACCCTAAACCCTAAACCCTATACCCAAGAGGCTTTCCCATTTCGGACCCTTCTTTCAGAAGCGCTTCGGGTCTGGGAAGTGTAGGGGGATGGGACAGCTCGTAAACCCAGGCTCGATCTCGAACCCCAAGCTACACCCTCTAGGGTTGAGGGTTTAGGGAAAGGGTTTAGGGTTTAGGGTTTAGGGCTTAGGGCTTGGGGCTTAGGGCTTAGGGCTTAGGGCTTAGGGCTTAGGGCTTAGGGCTGAGGGCTTAGGGGTTAGGGGTTAGGGTTTAGGGTTTAGGGTTTAGGGTTTAGGGCTTAGGGCTTAGGGCTTAGGGTTTAGGGTTTGCCGACCTTGCACCTGGGCGCCTGCGGAGCCCCCGACTTTGGGAGGAAGGGAGGCCGATCAGTCATCCAGCGCGTGCGCATCCTTCGGAAGCGCCCCGAGGATCCCGTAGAGCTCCTGCAAAGGGGGAGAGGGTCTAGGTTGTTAAAGGGTTTAGGGTTTAGGGTTTAGGATTTAGGGTTTAGGGTTTAGGATTTAGGGTTTAGGGTTTGGGGTTTGGGGTTTAGGGTTTAGGGTTTAGGGTCCCTAAACCCATTGAACCAGTTGGGGCTCAGGCTCCCAAATGGTTGGTTGGGGTTCCCGGCTGCACATTCTCGGGTTGATGGCGGCTCTTCCTTTTTTTGCTTCGAAGGTTCAGAGCTTCGCAAACAAAACCCCTGACTTGAAGATTCATCGGTTATAAGTAGGGTAGCCTCTGTATCATCGCCTTAGTCGCGGTACTTATATCCCCACTTCCTCCCCTTTTCCAAGGAGTCCTGGTGGGCAACAACTTCGTGTCTTTGTGCTTTTCTTTCAGCCTGCACCCCTCAAAAATTAGAAGTAGGGTCTAGAAAACAGAAGCTCGTTCGAGACTTTTGTCCACAAAGCGTTTCGTTCAAATCTTTTTGCCAAGCCCTAAGCAATTTCTATAAAGCAGGCTTTTAGAAATTCTCCCTCGCTTTGTCCAGCAAAAGCGAATGCTGGCGGACTCCTAGGCGAGGAGCCAGTTGCAAGGAAAGAACCCTAAACCCTAAACCCTGAACCCTAAACCCTAAACCCTAAACCCTAAACCCTAAACCCTAAACCCTAAACCCCAAACCCATAGTGCAAATAACGACACTTCCCTTCGACACGTTCCTTCAAAACGGTGTTGGGACCCAAGTTCTCTACAATTTCTGTAAACCTTAAACCCTAAACCCTAAACATCCCTAAACCCTAAACCCTAAACCCTAAACCCTAAACCCTAAACCCTAAACCCTAAACATCCCGAAACCCTATGCACCCAAACCCCAAATGCTAAACCCCTTCCAGGGTTTAGGGTCCAGGGGTCCGCCGGCCTCACTTCGGTTGTCCACGCTTCGGGTGTCCATGCTCTTCTCGTCGGTCCGATTGTCGTAGCTCACAGTCCGGTCGCGAGCCACAACCTCCTGGGATTGTGGGATGTTGAGGGTTTAGGGTTCTGGGACTTAGGGTGTTTTGTTAGGGTTGGGATTGTTTGAGGTTCAGGGCAATAAGGTTTAGGGTTGTTCTGGGTGTAGCGGTTTAGGGGTTTCAGGTTTTAGGCCCGGAAGCTTGTTGTTTCTTTCTGTCAGGCTCCAAGGGGGGCGGAGGTAAACACTTCAAAAGGCACTGAACGCAGGCGAGTTCGGACTTCTATGCTCGGCCTTCATGATTCTGAGGCTCTCTTTAGCCTACGCGAAGACACTTTTACGCTGGCTGAAACGTAAAGAAAACCTTAAGAGTCAGGTTTTGGTTTAGGGTTTCGGGTTTCGAGTTTCGGGTTTACAATAAACCCTTAAGAGCCCTGCGTTAAGGCGTTTCGGGCTGTTCTTTTAAGCCCTGGCCATCAACCCCCCTAAACCCTCTAAACCCTCTAAACCCTAAACCCCCCTAAGCCCCCTAAACCCCCTAAACCCCCCTAAACCCCCCTAAACTTCCCTAAACCGCCCTAAACCCCCCTAAACCCCCCCTAAACCCCCCTAAACCCCCTAAACCCTAAACCCTAAACCCTAAACCCTATATCCTAAACTCGAGGAACCTAAGCCCAAGCCCAGCCCGAAGACCCAGCCATGAAGCCGCAAAACCATACCTTAGACTAACTAACCTCTCAACCATAAGACTTGGGCTTAGGGCTTAGGGCTTAGGGCTTAGGGCTTAGGGCTTAGGGCTTAGGGCTTAGGGCTTAGGGCTTAGGGCTTAGGGCTTAGGGCTTAGGGCTTAGGGCTTAGGGCTTAGGGTTTAGGGTTTAGGGTTTAGGGTTTAGGGTTTAGGGTTTAGGGTTTAGGGTTTAGGGTTTAGGGTTTAGGGTTTAGGGTTTAGGGTTTAGGGTTTAGGGTTTATGGTGGAAGGTTTAGGGTGGAAGGTTTAGAGGTTCAGGTCCTACTTGGGATGCTCCCCCTTATACTAACAGGCCTTCATAGGGATTATCATACGGGGTACTTGAACCCCTGTTAAGGACTGTGAGACATCAGGAACATCCCAACAGAAAACCTAAAAACAACCCCCCAAGGCAAGACGCCGAGCCGTCTGAGATGGGCACGATCGTCGGGGTCAGGTCCTGCCGACCCACGGGCGCTAAGGTTTGAGATCTTAGGCGTGCCGGAAACCGTTAAGCTCCGCATCCTAGAATCCAAACCAGAGACTCCCATGGTACCAAGGAACCCTGAACCCTAAACCCTAAACTCTAAACCCTAAACCCAAAGGAGCCCGCTTAACGCCGCAGATGCTCTGCAGCAACACCAGGACAGGCAGGGAAAAACCGGGCCAGGATGCATGTTTTTCCGAAGCCCTCGACCCCAAACCGTTTTTGTTGTGTGCGTCTGAACTCACTGGCCGAAAACCTAAACAATAAGCCCTAAACCCTAAACAAGAAGCCCTGTGGATTGTACTTATTAGCCAAGTATAGCTGTACTTATAACCCACCCACTTGTAAGCCAGTACAGTTATAAGTACAGCTATAATTGATTAGTAAGTACGATGAGCCTCCAAGTGCTAGTCTTCTTCCCTAGAGTGGCGCCCAGCCGAAATGCCGTAGAACCCAAACCCCCAAATCCCTAAACCCCAAGACCCTCAAACCCCTAAACGCCTAAACCCCTCAAGCAGACCGCGCCTTGACTGAGCTCATGACCAGCTCCTGGGATATTTTGGATTCTTAAGTGGGTTTAAGAGGGGTTAAGAGCCTGGAGGGGTTTAGGGGCTTCAGGGGTTTAGGGTTTGGGTCTTCTTTAGGGTGTGTCAAAGGGTTCTCGTTTCAAGGGTTGGGAGGGTCTAGGGTTTAGGTGGCTGAGAGCAGCACCAAGATCCGTGCGGAAAATGTTCGCAACGCGCCGGAAAGCGTCCACAAGGCTTGGAAAGTGCTCGCGAAGCTCCTTTGTTTAAGCTTATAGACTGGCTCACTTGACATGCCACCCTAAACCCTAAACCCTAAACCCTGAACCCTGAACCCTAAACCCTAAACCCTAAACCCCCCCCCCCCCCAAGTCACGAGGTGCCCCGAGCTTCCGGCATCGGATGTTCGGGCATCGGGTATGTCGAGGGTTAACTCAGGCTGTTGAACGAAACCGCATAGGCAGCTGCTAACCCTAAACCCTAAACCCTAAACCCGAAACCCTAAACCCTAACTGATTAAGCAGCTGTTAGCACGGGCCCTGCAAACATGGAGAAGAAGCAACGCGGCTGGCACCAAGAGACGAACGACCTTGTGCGTGTGACAGAAAATCTATCTTTTCTATTAGGATGCACTTCTTGGGATGTTCCGGGTTTAGGGTTTCCCCCTTTTGCTAACAGTCCTTCTTCGGGATTCTAATAGGGGGGAGGGGGTACTAAAATCCCGATTAAGAAGCTGTTAGCATAAGGGGGGAACTGTCCCATGCCCCTTCTGCCAAAGCCAAGCGTCGTCGATGTGAATCCTGGACATAAGTCGCTCCAGCACCGCCTTCCCTTCACCCTCGCCTGCAGGCGGGAGCAAAGTCCACCCGGTGTGAGCTGGGGGTGTGCGAACATATGGGGGACCCCGCATCTGAACCCCACATAGAAGCAATCCCTTGTAACACGTACCCCAATAAGGTCCCAAGCCCAAAATCCTATTCCCTCGCTTGTGTAGGAAGTCGAACTCCAATCGCGTCGGCACACAGAAGCAGGCAGCAACAAGGGTTTAGGGTTTAGGGTTTAGGGTTTAGGATTTAGGATTTAGGGTGACAAGAACTGCCGGAATCTGATCCCAGGATCAGTCGGGGGCTGGGGCTCTTGGCCATGGTCTTATTGCGGGTAAATCTCAAAACCATGCTCTCACCGATGCCCCTCTCAGCCCATCCACCTTGTCGCAGATTGATTCATGGGGTTTAGGGTTTAGGGTTTAGGGCTTAGGGCTTAGGGTTTAGGGTTTAGGGTTTAGGGGGGCCATGCTACTACAAGCGGCGCGGCGGCTTGCCAAATTCCCGCAGTCCGAAGCTCAAAACTTAAAAAACCCAAGTGGGGGTTTACGAAAATAGGGGACCCTTGAAATAGAGCCCCCCAAATAGTAGCATCCCCCCGAAAAAAAAAGAACCCCAATAAGGTACCCCTAATTTCTGAAACCCGAGTTCCAAAAACAGGCCCGCCTCGGAAACGATCCACCTCCTCCTCATGCCTCGAACGCAAAGATATTTTGTCAATTCTTCTTTAGGGGCCTTCATAAGTAGAATAGGGCTTTGGGGGGTTGTTTTTGTATAATTTGTATAAGGGGCCCTAAGGAAAGACTATTAGTATTTATTCCGACCCTTATATGCCCTATATGACATCCTTCGGAAACCGGTTGGGCGTGAGAGGCCGAGAGGGGAGAAAATGTCACATAATGCTTGCTGCTCGACAACCCTAAAACCTAAACCCTAAACTCTAAACCCTAAACCCCAAACCCTAAACAAGTTGAGTCGAGCCACAGCCAGCCACAAATAAGCACTCTTTGCGACTCGCCATCCGGCAATCCAACGATCTCCTCGGCTCGACATGACTGCCACTTGCCATGTTTAGGGTTCAGGGTTTAGGGTTTAGGGTTTAGGGTTTAGGGTTTAGGAGCAAGGACGTCAGGAGGAATGGAAAGGTGTTGCGTCTTGGCTTAACACGGCCCGTGAGCGAGAGGGAGCGGGGCAAGGTGGCAGTCGTTCCCAGAAACGTCATAGCACCGAAAGTACACCCTAAACCCTAAACTCTAAACCCTAAACCCTAAACCCCAAACTCTAAACCCTAAACCCTAAACCCTCAACCAAAAGTAACTTGACCTCCATCCACACTACAGGGCGTCACTTCGGTCTTGCAAGACGGCACTGCGGTCTCCGAAGCCCGCCCAGAATGGGTTTAGAGTTTAGGGTTTTAGGGTTTTAGGGTTTTCGGGTTTTCGGGTTTTCGGGTTTTAGGGTTTTAGGGTTTTAGGGTTTTGGGGTTTTAGGGCTTCAGGTCCTACTTGGGATGTTCGCCCTTATACTAACAGTCCTAAACAGGGATTCCAATCGGGGGCACCATGATCCCGATTAAGGACTGTTAGTGTAAGAGGGAACATCCCGAGGTCCTACGCCTGAAGCCCTCAACCTGAATCTAAACTATGATAAGACTCTAAATTCTCATCTCAGATGATATATGATTCTATAGTGCTGCGAATTATTACAAAACCCTAAGCCCTAAGCCCTAAGCCCTAAGCCCTAAGCCCTAAGCCCTAAACCCTAAACCCTAAACCCTAAACCCTAAATACGTTGACACCATGTCGGGCCGCATGCGTGTCAGCGATGCACCCGAGCGAGTCGAGGTCCATCTTGTTCTGCGAGCCAGATCGCCTTGTCAGCGTCCTGAAACAGAGGTACGGCTTACAGCATCTTATGCCAGAACGCTTCTTGGCAGCCTGTGCCCTTGGATGGAAAGGGCTTGGGGTTTGTCTTAAACGCCTAGGCAAGCACAATACGGGCTACTTCTGAGTAACCCCGGCATACGAGTTCAGCTTTATGTTACCAACGTCGCCCGTCCTTCCAGCAGACATACCCATAAATCCACGGAAAGAATGCCGCTTGACCATGGGTGGTCCCTTGTCCCGTGAGGGATCTGTCTCCAGTCCTGGGCTCCCGCGGTTCGCTCAACAAACTCTGCGGGGCCTCTCTTGCACGGGGTTTCGGGCTGAGGGTTTAGGGTTCTACAACAAGACCTCAGCTGGAATCCTCACCCTGTCTCACCCTCCCTAAGACACACTGAGGTGGTCTTGGGATGCCCAATTGAAACTTTCAGGCTCTTGCCCAGTTGAAACTTTTGGGGTGAGGGTTTCGACCCTTACATGGGGTGGGAAACGCCCCATGGTTGGCCAATGGCCCAGCGAAGCTATTCTGGCTGCTGAGTCAATATGTCATAAGCAACCATGCACAGCACAGTTAAGATGCCAAGGCTGAGGTTATTGTATGTTCTATATCATTCCTGCATTCATCTCAGTCCGAGAGTTCCTACAATAAATAAAAATGTGCTGTAATTTCGTTCGGTATGTCTTCATGAAAAAACCGAATTCATGAAATTAACTTAGCTTAGCTAAGGTGCAATGATCGCAAGTGTATGCATGGTAGTGTTTGTCAATGTAAGTAAATAGTATATGTATGTATATATATATATATATCATATATCATATATGTATATATCGAATTTCAGCATTGTTCTTGATACTCCTAATGTTGATTCTACTCATATTGACTGTATGATTCTGTTTCTCACATTTCTCATATCAAAAAAACATGCCATTCATGTTTCCGTATGACTCATACAGTTCGTATCGTTCGTATAATTAAAGATATCAATGCTATTGCCACACTTAGAATATCGGCATTATAAACAATATGCAAAGGTTTAGTGCTCATCTTATGAATATTTCGAATGCTGCAAGGATGGTTAAAGGCTCATGAACATTGAAGCTCCTGACTCCTGACTGTAACTACGGAAGCGGCGCGCCATGACCTGGTACCCTGCCCAAGTGCTGCTCTAAATCAGATCAATGCTAGCACGATACTGGCATGCGACTCGGAAAACAAAGTAAAAGCAATGGCGCCATGCCTTCTTCTAAGAGCGTTCGGGCTTCACATGCCCTCTGCTCCGCACACTCACCTTGAGAAAGAAAGATCCACGGAGTCTTGACGCAACCTTCTAGCAGTGAAGTGACGTCACTTTACGTAAACTTAGGGCTTTGGCGAATCCAGTCCTGCACGCGTGGAGCTGCGTGAAAGAAGGACAGCGTCTCCGATCTTCCGAAACTAAATTGCGGGTGACAGTGCGTTTCACCAAGCTTCGAGCTCCCAGAGGTGGGTTGGTCAGACAGCTGGAATAAGATCATGCAGCAGGACGAAAGGGCGGTTTACGATATTAGAGGTACCTTACTGGGTCCTCTTTATGAGGGGATCCTACGATTTGGGGTCTATGTTAGGGGTCCCCTATTTTCGTAAATTCCAAAAAATAGTTCTATTTTGCGCAGCATATGAGGGGTCTAAGGTTTAGGGGGGGTTGGGGAGGGGGATCAGATTTCTGGGAGGGGTTGGGCTGTTTCAGGCCACATGAGGATTCCGTGTTCCTGAAGGACACGAAGTAGCTTCAAACCCTTTTACATCCAGCCTCCCTGGCCCCAACAGCTTAGTCTCCCACAAAGGAAATATCCACGCGACGTGCCTTAAGAGCCCTATCTTGAAACTCCTGGTTGACTTTACCCAAGACTGGGGCGCCGCACTACCATTCAAGAACTGTTGCAGCACGGCATCATGACAAGGACCGCACTTTGAGCAGCAGTTTCAGTAACTCAAGAGATCCCGCATCTTTCGAGCACCTGTATCCCGACCCAGCCCACCGCGAAGGGCAACCCTGATTCCTGAACCCTAAACCCTGAACCCTAAACCCTAAACCCTAAAACCCAAAACCCAAAACCCAAAACCCTAAACCCTAACGCAGAAGCTCCTCCTACCAAGCCTGAGGGCGGGGGGGGGGGGGGGGGGGGCCTACACGCCGAGGCAAGCGTCGCTGTAGTTGCGGTAAGTCCATCTCATTTCGGACCTCGCGGGTCCACGATTGGACTTGGGGTTTAGGGTTTAGGGCCTTTAGGGCCTTTAGGGTTTAGGGTTTAGGATTTCGGGATACTTGAAGGTTCAGGAGTTGTTGTAAGTAGGGGTATAAGTAAGGTAACCTATGCTACCCTTAGTTCAGGAACTTCTAACCCTACTTGTAACTACCAATGAACCTTCAAGCGTGGCATCTGGCTTAGTAGTGTCACCCAGGGTTGTTTGAAGGGACTACGTGGGGGGTGCCCCATGCCCTGGCCCCCAAAAGTTTCTAAGGTTTAGGGTTTAGGGTTTAGGGTTTAGGGTTTAGGGTAAGTTTCGGCTTTGGGATTCTGGGGCTTTGCCCGTTCAGCCCCCTGGTCAGGGTTGCACTGAAGCCCCGCCCCCAGCTTTGGCAAGTCCGAGCTTTGTAAGCAGGGTTTAGGGTTTAGTGTTTAGGGTTTAGGATTTAGGGTTTAGGGAGACCCCTTGCATGTAAGGCCCAAGTCGTCCTGCAGCCTTCAAACCCTTTGTGAACAACGGACCTTGAGGCTGCCTTCAACCCTACTCGCTCGAAGGCCGATGCCCTGAGGCTGCACGCCTTGCTCCTCTTGCACTCCGTTGAGGGCTTGATAGGGGGTCTTAATGCTTCTTCCTACAATTCCTGTGATTGTTGTGATATCTACTTCGTAGTGGAAGTACTACGGCCATGCTGACTATGGTGAGAAGTATCGTGACTCAGATGTTGAGGATTGTGTTCCCTCCCAGGGCGACGCTCAAGCTTCGCAAGCCGGGCGACTTCAAGCTGGAAGATTGTGCGCAAGTACCTGGGTCCATGAACACATGAGGGGTTGCTCTTTGGCTTGGGGTCCCTGGTAGGGGTCCTTCTGCGAGAGGATCTACAGGATCCCCCCACAAGGTACATCCTAGAGGGCCACGACGCCCCACGAGACTCCGGTGTGTTGGACGGGGTCAGCTACTCTACATGAAGGCAGCCGGGGTGCTTGGTCCGCATGTTGTATTTCTCGGAGCGGGACCACTCCACCTCGTGATGCACGGGCAGCTGCGACAGGTCCTCGGCAGACAGGACCAACATTCCCCCCAAGGCCTCCCGGGCAGCCTGAGACAGGTGACCCTCCCCCCATGGGTTTAGGGCTTCCGGTTCAGCCTGAACCCTAAACCCAAAACCCTAAACCCTAAACCCCCGAGCTCCCAAAAAAACTGTGGCCCCAGACGACGAGGCCGCGAAAGGGCAGCAGATCCGTTTCCTTAGCAGGGCACTTCAAGGGCTCCAGGCACTTGAGCAATGCGCGGTGCAGTTTGTTTTTTTTTTGGTATGGGCCCTGATTCTGAAAAGTGTATATAAGGTTTATGTTGCAGGGGGCCCAAATACAGGACCCATACTTTGGATCCCCTATTTCAGAGACTATATGGATACTACGCGATGCCAATGCCTTAAGTCTCTACTGAGAGTCAGTACAGTACAGCAGGTAGGCAGCCGGCACACGACACAAGCTGAAGGGTGCTAGTGTCGGCCAGTAACCAATAGTTGAGTAGTAGGAACTCAACTATACTACATCAAACCACTTTTGCAGTATGTTGTGGTGTTTCTTCTTTGTTCTTGGCTTTTAGACGGTTGCATTCTTAGTTTGCCTACTGCTGCATTGGTGTACTAGAATATTCTTGAAGTGCTAACCCCAAAGAAGCAAGATCCAGCTAGATCGGATGGTCCGAGTTTCGGGTGCCCAGGAACTTACGCTCAAGTTTAGCCCCCTCCACCCCCCCCCCCCACCCCCACAAAGCACAGAAAGGAAACATCTCAGCGCAAGACCGATACAAGGTGTATTAGGGAAGGACTACTTCCTGTCCTACACTCAGCCCTAAACGCAGTGTTTAGGGGGCTTAGCTTAGGGAATGGAAAGCCGCAATAGCCTAGTTTGCGTATATGTATTATAATATAGTATAACATACCATACGATAACGGAATATAATATAATATGTATATATATATATATATATACTAGTTTACTTCGTTGCATCCGGACGCCGGGGACCCCGAAGACCACTGAAAACCCTAAAGCGGAAGATCCTAAAACCCTTCAACCGCGAAAGCTCGAAAGCCCTAAAGCCCCCAAAACCCTAAACCACCCAAAACACCTACAACCCCAACCCCAACCCCCCTCCCCCCCGGCAACAAATCCACAAAAACCACCCTTCAGACCTTGAGGCTTTCCGACTGAGGGAATTTAGGGCTTAGGGTTTGGGATTTAGGGTTTAGGGTTTAGGGTTTTTAGGGTTTAGGGTTTAGAGTTTAGGGTTTAGGGTTTAGGGTTTAGGGTTTAGGGTTTAGGGTTTAGGGTTTAGGGTTTAGGGTTTAGGGTTTAGGGTTTAGGGTTTAGGGTTTACCAATCCGCGGAGTCTCCAGGACGCGAGTCATGGCCTCCTGGGCCTGAATGAAGGGCGGGGGCACTTCTGGGAAGATTCTTTAGGGTTTAGGGTTGAGGGTTGAGGGTTTAGGGTTGAGGGTGAGGGCTGAGGGCTGAGGGCTGAGGGCTGAGGGCTGAGGGCTGAGGGCTGAGGACTGAGAGTTGAGGGTTGAGAGTTTAGGGTTTAGGGTTTAGGGTGCAGGGTTTAGGGTTCAGGGTTTAGGGGCAGCGATAAGTACGATGAAGCATTGGGGTTTAGGGTGTTTAGGCTATTAGAGTTTTGAGGGTTTAGGGTTTAGGGTTAGGGTTCAGGGTGTTTAGCGAGGGTTTCATGGGTAGTTGCAAGCAGGACTATAAGTACCTGCATTAACGTTGTCATGGATGCTACCTTCCCCAAACCCTAACCCCCTGAACCTCCGCAGAGGGCGTTAGCAGCTTTTAGGGGTCTTTTTTTTGGGGGGGGGGGGGGGGGGTAAAACCTAAACCCTACACCCTAAACCCTAAACCGTAAAACGTTTAGGCTCAGGGACTTTTTTGGGACCTTGGGATAGCTTGGTTGGGAGTTAGGATGTACATGGGGCCTAGGGATTTTCCGGTGCAGGGGCTTTTTCGGACACGTGGTGAGCTGGGTTTGGGCTCCAAGGGCATAAGGTTGGGCTTCGGGGCCTGGTATTCTTGGACTCCTGACTAGTTCCTAGGTAGGATAAAGGTGACCCTTAAAAGGGAGCCCTTCTGAACCCTCTTCTGGCTCTCTTAAAGAGGGACCTTATTGAGAGCTACAAAAAAGGGAACAAAACGAAGACAGCGGGCCGAGCCTAGCTGGTTCAGGGAAGCACTCCGAAGCTCATACGTGCTGGCTTAGGCGGGTTTAGGGTTTAGGGTTTAGGGTACGCAATGGAACAAGGCACACGTGTGACTCAGCCGGGAGTTCGGGGAGGGTTGCCACCAGGCTCTGCGGGCACGGGCCAACTGCAGGCGTGGATTGCCCCAAACAACCCTAACCCTAAACCCTAAACCCTAAACCCTAAACCCTAAAACCTAAACCCAAACCCCTTCTTGAAAACCTTCTTGCCACACCCGAGCTGCCGTCTCTCCGAGCTCCTGCTTCGTGCCCGGAAGTTTGCAGCTGACTCGCAGCCCACTCTCGGGGTCCTGGAGGTGCTTGAGGGTGATGTGGGGTTCGGGTTTAGGGTTTAGGGTTTAGGGTTTAGGGTTTAGGGTTTAGGGTTTAGGGTTTAGGGTTTAGGGTTTAGGGTTTAGGGTTTAGGGTTTAGGGTTTAGGGTTTAGGGTTTAGGGTTTAGGGTTTAGGGTTTAGGGTTTAGGGTTTAGGGTTTAGGGTTTAGGGTTTAGGGTTTAGGGTTTAGGGTTTAGGGTTTAGGGTTTCAGGTTTAGGGTTTCGGGTTTGGGGTTTCGGGTTTCGGGTTTGGGGTTTGGGGTTTGGGGTTTGGGGTTTGGGGTTTGGGGTTTAGGGTTTAGGGTTTCGGGTTTGGGTTTTGGGGTTTGGGTTTTGGGGTTTGGGGTTTGGTCTAGCTTCGGAAAGAGGAAGCCCAGCATGGGTGTTGAAGGGTGTGAGGTGTGAGGTGTGAGGTGTGAGGGACTTACTTAAGCAGGAACCCTGACCCTCCCTGGCATCCGGTCCGCCCTCCCCCCCCCACCCCTAACGACGCTTGCCTACTGCGGAGTCTAGCTCCCGTGGAACCCAGCTTCGCACGTGCGGAGGGCCTTCTGGGAGTCCGTATCGCCCCTAGCTGAGAATCCCCCCTGGGCGGGGGCGAAGCGTTAGGCTGGGTGCTGAGTAAACGTTCGGATTCGAGTGCCCTAAACCCAAAAAACCCAAAAAAACCCAAAAGCCTTAAAACCCCCAAAAACCCTAAAAGCCCTGAGGCCCCAACAGCCCTAAAAGCCCCCAAACGCCCTTAAAACCCTAAAAGCCCTAACAATCCTGAAGACCCTAAAGCCCTTTGCCAAGCCAAGGGTCCCAAGTTCCGAGCTGCATGAGGGTGGTGCCATCGCAGCCTCAGTTTTGCTGTAGGGGCCTGAATCCTTAGAACAGGGTTTAGGGTTTAGGTTTTTGTTGGGGGTTTAGGGTTTAGGAGTATAACTATAGGGGGGCCAGAAGGGGTTCCGACCCCTATATTCGGTCTTCAGGGTTTTGGCGCTGAGGTTGGGGCTTGCCGTATTTCGGGGGGAGGGGGGAGAGGGGTTTGGGGTTTAGGGTTTAGGGTTTGACCCCAAGAAGGTAGCCCTAAAAGGGGCTCTCTACAGAAAAGGGGCTTCTTGCGGCGTTGGAAGCCCTATGAGTACCCAACTCCTGCTGCTTCCAATCCTGACGATGTCTTTCCGAAACCCGAAACCCGAAACCCTAAACCCTCAACCCTAAACCCTAAACCCTCGCTAGCTTGTCAAGGCAGTCCGCGGCTAATATTGATGGTGGAGACAGCGGCCAGGCGTTCGACGTCCTGCGCACACCCACATAAACCGTGAACCTGCTTTGGCTTCTGGCGTTAGGGCTTAAACCCTAAACCCTAGCCCTAAACCCTAAACCCTAAACCCTACACCCTAAATCCTATGGAGAGAAGCGACCGCGGTCGAGGTTGAGGTGAGGGGGTCGTGGTTGAAGCTTGGGCGCGCGAGAGGCGAACCCAAAATCCTACATGCCAAGGCTCCAAGCTGGGCTTAGGCTCTGGTTTTGCAGCATCCCTGAAGGGTTTAGGGTTTAGGGTTTAGGGTTTAGGGTTTAGGGTTTAGGGTTTAGGGTTTAGGGTTTAGGGTTTCGGGTTTCGGGTTTAGGGTTTCGCAAGCCAACCAGTTTTGGACGTTTCGGGTTGCTCTATTGTAAGACAGGCCCCACAAGTTTGACGGTCCCCGTGCGTGTTGGCCATCAGCATGCACCTTGGCCATGCAAGGCAAGTCGCTGATGACCCAAAACCAAGAATACTAAAATGTATTAAAAGATACTAAAATATACTTGTAAAGTGCTGAGACCCAACACCGGATTTCTCAGCTTCTGTGGCCTTCTACTAGTAGAAGATATTGTGGCACTGTGAGGTTTGGGGGATGCCACCATTTTTTCAGGATCCACAAGCCCTTTGTCATTGGGTCCTTATGAACCGTGGTCTTTCTTTCGCGCCCGAAAGACTACAATCGAAAACCCTCCAAAAACAAAACGGTGCCCATGATTCAAAACCCTGAACCCTAAACCCTAAATCATTCAAGCCTTCCGGGTTCGCACACCCAGCCTGAAGGTTTGGGGGTCAAGACGCGGCCTTCGGCGACTCGGCGAAAAAGTGGCGGGGTTTCGTGCGCAGGAACACAGCGTTTCAATGCACCGCTTCTCAATTAAACCCAAACCCTAAACCCTAAACCCTAAACCCTGAACCCTGAACCCTAAACCCTCTAAATGCTGGCTGGAGTGCTTGCTTTTGGTGACCTCCTTCTCCAGCTCTTCAATGTTCTTGGGATGGTTGCGGAACCTTGGGCCATCGGTTTAGGGTTTAGGGTTTAGGGTTTAGGGTTTAGGGTAGTTGCATGGTCCCTTAGCATGGGCCCGTTTCGAAGCCGATCCCTTCTATACCCTGTACAACCTAGGGGCCGATACATCAGAACCCTTTAAAGAAGGCAAGGGACCGTAGTAATATTCATGGACCATGTAACTACTTGAAGGTTCATGGGTAGTTATAAGTCGGGTTCTAAGCACCTTAATTGAGGTTATGAACTGGGATGCCCTTACCTCAAACCCTGCCTACAACTACCCATGAACCTTCAAGTAGCCTTAGGTAAACCCCACCACCCCACGTCTTCTGAAGCTAGGGGCTGGTTGTTGCTGACTCCTAGGGCTGGTCGGCCCTCAAAAGCCCATCCACAGTCTAGATACCTCTGGGGGTTCCCGACCCTATAGTGCCCTAAGCCGAATAATTATTTGAAAAAAGCAACGAGTTTCAGCCGATATCACACACAGCTGCATGTGGTCATTTTGTTATCCAGAAGGGAAGAATCGCGAGGGGCGGGGGATTTCTGCAAGTGACGATTTAACAAATTCTTCGTCTTCTTCTTCTTGATGATGATAGTGATCTTGCCATATACTATGCTACCATAATTGCGAACAGTACTAACAACTCATAGATAATGATAGAGACTATCATATTACCTAACTGCTACATAATAATGTTAGTACAATACTACTAAGTTGCTTAAGAACACCGAAAAATGAAAAAATATTCCTCCAAAATGGGCGATATAGGGATTATTGATTTTATTCTTTTGGGGTTCTTAAGCACAAACAGCAGAATACCGTTCTGAAATCCTCAGCCCCTCTGCCCAAGGCGCACTGCCGAGGCCCACTGGCCAACCTACGGGTGGGGCTTGGGGGGGAGGTTCCAGGTTTTTGTGGGGGCCTTCGCCTAAGGAAGCTGTCTAGGGTTTAGGGTTTAGGGTTTAGGGTTTAGGGTTTAGGGTTTAGGGTTTAGGGTTTAGGGTTTAGGGTTTAGGGTTTAGGGTTTAGGGTTTAGGGTTTAGGGTTTAGGGTTTGGGGTTTAGGGTTTAGGGCTTAGGACTTAGGGTTTAGGGTTTAGGGTTTCGGGTTTAGGGTTTCGGGTTTCGGGTTAGGGTGCAGGGTGCAGGGTGCAGGGTGCAGGGTGCAGGGTGCAGGGTGTAGGGTGTAGGGTGTAGGGTGTAGGGTGTAGGGTGTAGGGTGTAGGGCGTAGGGCGTAAGACTCTGCAAAGTGCGTCTACAGCCCTGAAAGGAAAGGGGTGTAGGCCCTTAAGCCCTGCAAGCTGAATTATGACCATGCCAAGAGGGACTCTCAACCTTGAGAACACCCAGTGCGCAGCTTGAACCCGAACTGCGAACGCTGCCGCTGAAGCAGCTTGAGCCCTATGGTTGACTCACGCCAACTGGTTCTTAGAAGTGACTTCGTAACGCCTCAACCCTAAACCCTAAACCCTAAACCCTAAACCCTAAACCCTAGACCCTAAACCCTAAACCCTAAACCGCACTTAGGTATAAACCCTGACAGCCGCCAACATCCGAAGGCCCTTGGCAAGCAGCAGATCGCCGCAGCAGCCAGAGATGACCCTCCCCCACCCGATCTGCAATTAGGGTTTAGGGTTTAGGGTTCAGGGTTTAGGGTTTAGGGTTTGGGGTTTGGGGTTTAGGGTTTAGGGTTTAGGGTTTAGGGCAAGGGCTTAGGGTTTTCAGATTCCCACACCCGCCTGGTCTTTCACAAGCTCGAGGCCTATCCTGCTGACCAAGCTCCTGCCGGAAGCTCATGGCTATGGGTTATGACAGCTCTTTAGCCTTTCGGGCCCCCAACGACCTTCCAAGTAGGGAATTTGGGCCCCAACAACCCTCACCCCTAGAATGGCCAACCTAACCCTAAACCCTAAACCCTAAAAACCCTATAAGCCCTATAAGCCCTAAAAGCCCTAAAAGCCCTAAAAGCCCTAAAAACCCTAAAAACCCTAAAAACCCTAAAAACCCTAAACCCTAAACCCTCCTATGCCTTGCAAGTGTAAGGCAAAAACAAAAGTTGGCGCAGGGATCCTGGTGTCTTAGTAAGGGCCTCAAGTTTAAGGGGTACCCCTAGAAGGGACCCTTAGGGTTTAGGGTTTAGGGTTTAGGGTTTAAGGTTTAGGGTGCAGGGTTTAGGGTCAACCTCCTTCAGTCTCTTGTGACAATACATCAGATGACTCAGACTGAGTTCAACACCCGAAGCCCTAAACCCTACACCCTACACCCTAAACCCTAAACCCTAAACCTGCAGGCTCCAAGACACAAACTGCATTCTAGGGCTCTAGGCCTGGTTCAGGGTTCAGGGGGCAAGTATACTAGCCCGGGTGCGGAATTAGGGTTTTAGGGTTTTAGGGTTTAGGGTGTAGGGGCAAGTCTAGTCAGTCCGATGGCATTTGGCTCAGATGTTCTTTGGGGTCGGACTTGCAAAGACTGAGAGCTTTGAAGCGTTGTCTCTACGACCGGCAGCTGGCCTCACAATCTTCGACGCGCACACGATCATCTCATCAAAGCTTGTGCACCTGGGCGATGTTCGCAGTTCTCTAACTTCTGGTCCCTTTCTTGGGAACCCACATAGACAGCTCCGGTATTTTTGTAGGAACTACCGAGAAAAAAAACACGCCATCATTCAGAGAACTGGACCCAAACATTCCTAAACCCTCCTCTCCCCCCCTGCAAAAACAAAGTCCGCAAGTTAGAGAACCAAACCCTTCAGCTTCCCCCCCGGCTCCCCCATGATGCGGAGAACTCGCCCCCTGCATCCCGACGCTTTCCTAGGGCCCGGGCGGAACTTCGATGTCGTTGGGCCAGGGCGCCTGCAAGAGAAGACGGGGTCAAGTACCCGCCAATAGTGGGGCCGCTGCTCAAACCCTTGTAAAACTTGGCGGCCCGGTAACCATACTATAACGAGGGTACCCTTTTTATTGGGGTTGGTTACTTCCTAAACCCTAAACCCTATATAAACCCTAAACCCTAAACCGTAAACCCTAAACCTTGAACCCTAAAAAAGGGCAAAACGGCACCCCTCTGGACCACCAAGAAGCCTGACAAAACCCTGGTAAAGTGCGATTGAGAGCCCTCTGAACACACCTGACAAAGAAGTTTTTTAAAGCTTGGTAGCCCAGGAACCATATGACAGTAAGAGCACCTTTTTTGGGGTTGCTTACTGGACAAGGAACCTTGAACCAAAAAAGAAGGGACAGGCTACCACTGGGCTACCAAGAAAGCCAGCCTTGCAAAAGTCCCTTATTTGCTTTGTGGGTCCGACTCAGATCTTGCGGGAAGCCCCATGCCCAGAGCGCCACTCCAGTAAGACACTTGTTTCACGCTTGCCCGAAGTTGATTCAGAGGTCTGCTGCCATGGTTGTTGGTTGACAACATCTCCAACCCACTGCAGACTCGCCAGGGGCGAGCCAACTTGGGATGTTCTTTTAGTAACACTCCTTAATAGGGAATCAGGCAACAGTCCGTAATAGGGATTATGGTACGCCCTATTACAATCCCTATTAAGGACTGTGAGCATAAGGGGGAACATCCCAATGATCACCTGTCACCCCCCCCCCCCCCCCCCCCCTGCCCCTCGGCACTACAACAAAGTACGAACTAACACCCCTGGTTCTTAGTAGGGAATGAGGGAATGAGGGCCCCATATATACCCTTTAAGGGATTATACAGGGCCCCTATAAATACCCTTTAAGGGATTATGTAGGGCCCTCATTCCCTCATTCCCTACGAAGAACCAGCCAGCAACCCCCGCACCTGAGGCGGCTTGGCCATGGAAAGCCGCGTCCTGCACGGAGCGGTCGTAGTGGGAGGTTTTTTGTGGGAGAGTTGGGCTTAGGGTCTAGGGTCTAGGATAGGAGGGTCTGGGGTCTAGGCGGTCTAGGCGGTCTAGGCGGTCTAGGCGGTCTAGGGTCTAGGCGGTCTGGGGTCTACGGTCTAGGGTTTAGCGTTTAGGGTTCTCTTTTTTAGGATTCAGGGTTTAGGGTTGCGGTTAAGGGCTTCGGGCTTCGGATTACGGCTCTTCGCGATGCACGGAATCACCTCCGGGAGGTGGCTTCTACTTCTCACATCCTCATGTCTACTATTTTTGCTTAAGAACCCCCCCCCCCCCCAAAAAAAAAAGAAAATAAAATAAAATAAGACGAAAAAAATAGAATAGCCCTACTGCAGGGTTTGGGGTTTAAGATGTATCTGCTATTTTGCTTGAGACCCCCCCCCCCCCCCCCCCCCCCCAAAAAAAAAAAAAAAAACTGCACAGTATTGCCCTTCTAAGGAAGATGCCCTTCTAAGGAAGATGCCTCTTTTTTTGGGGGTGGGGGGGGGGGGCGCGCGTTCTTATGATAGTAGTGGTTGAAGGCTTGAGGTTTCACTTAGAGGCACGCTCCAACCTTCCCTCGGCCCTAGTCCTCGGCCCTAGTGGGGGCATGAAGGAATACGAGAAAGAAGAGTTGATTATTGGGAATACCCAGTATATATAGCTATATATAGATATATATACTTGGCAGACTTCTGAACCCCTCCTAAAAGTTAAGCTTTTAGCTCCCTTATTGTAGGTATAAGGAAACCCAAAAAGTTAACGTCCTAAGAGCCAACCAGAAGACAGCCAAGCCCATGCCTTCGTTCCTTCTACCTGGCAGTAAATCGAATGCAAGCTCCGCGCTCGATGTTTTCTTCTCAGGAAAGCCGGCTGGCCATTTCTTTGAAGACCATTTCGACGTTCCTTAGCGTCTCAAGCTGTAAGGCAGCGCGGTTTGAGGTTTCAGGTCTAGCCTAAACCCTAAACCCTAAACCCTAAACCCTAAACCCTAAACCCTAAACCCTAAACCCTAAACCCTAAACCCTAAACCCTAAACCCTAAACCCTAAACCCTAAACCCTAAACCCTAAACCCTAAACCCTAAACCCTTTCGCTCCCGCGTTGGGCCGAACCGCAAAGCAGGGCTCACAAGTCGGCTGTTCGGGCGGAGAAAACACTTTTGCTTCGATCGACCCTCGAAACCAAGCACAACCCCACACACCATAACACCGCGTTTAGGGTTTAGGGTTTAGGGTTTGGGGTTTAGGGTTTAGGGTTTAGGGTTTAGGGTTTAGGGCTTAAGGTTGAGCGTGTAGGGTTCAGGGTTGAGGTTTGGGCCTTCGAGTTTGGAGTCTAGGGTTCAGAGCGCACCGCAGATTGCACAACTTGCTGTTGTTCAGATTGGAATGAAAGCATGGGGGTATTCTAACAAGTGAACTTGGGTATTTCAATTTCGTTTCCCTGCTGTGCGAATTTAGGCTTTAGGGCTTGGGGCTTAGGCCTTAGGGTTTAGTATGGTTCATGTATGGGCTTTGGGCATTTTCAAGCTGATTCTGATTCGAGGGGCGAGGGGGGGCCCTGTTCAGGGCACGAGGGCTTCACGCCTGCCTGTTCTGGCAAGAATGAGGGTGTAGGGTTTAGGGTTTAGGGTTTGAGTTTAGGGTTAAGGGTTTAGGGTAATGGCAAGTAACTCGACTGTGCATTCGTTGGGGCGTCCGCTTCGCGAATGGCTTGAAGGAGAGTGTTGCATGACATGACACAGGAGCCCAAATAGTTTGTCCAATGCTTTCCCACTAATACATAATCCCTATACAAGTATGACGACATTGCTGCAACACATGCTCCTTCTACTTGCATTCCCCCCCCCCCCCCCCCGACACCCCCCCGCCCCCCGCCCAGTAGCTACGTCGCGTGGGACCCGACAAAACCAAAGGCGCCCCAGAATTTCGGCTCAAGACCCTAAACCAATACAAAAGGGCTTAGGGTTGAGGGTTTACCTTAGCCCTTTCTTGAATCTGGACTTGCTGACTGCCAGACCCCCAAACCCACAAACTTCAAAACCCACCAAACCCAACCCGAAACGCAATCTAAACCCTAACCCCAGACCCCAAACTCTAAACCCTAAACCCTACACCCTAAACCCTAAACCCTACACCCTAAACCCTAAACCTTAAACCCTAAACCCTAAACCCTAAACCCTAAGTTGGACCTGGGCTCCTGCCCTGCGCGCCGGAGACTTCGAAGTAGGGCATCCCCTTGCTCTTGGCCCAGTCTCGTGCCACCTGGGGTGGGGTTTAGGGTTTAGGGTTTAGGGTTTAGGGTTCAGGGTTCAGGGTTCAGGGTTCAGGGTTCAGGGTTCAGGGTTCAGGGTTCAGGGTTCAGGGTTCAGGGTTTAGGGTTTAGGGTTTAGGGTTCAGGGTTCAGGGTTGGGGGTTGGCAGGCCAGTCAGGCAGGGCCGGGGTTTCGGGTTTCGGGTTTAGGGTTCAGGGTTTATTGCTTTAGGGTTTAGGGCTTCAGGGTTTAGGGTTCCGGGTTGAGGCTACATGACAGACAGGTTCCCTTCTCGCATCCCTTTTTTTGGGGCCTTGTATTTAGGGGAACTGAAAGGGACCATCGTCGGAAGACCTCCGTGATGGTTGTTGGGGCTTTCGGCGACTATGCATGGCTTCAGGGTCGGCAGAAGCACTCTAATTTGCTCAGCTGTTTCATCCGAAGACCTTGGGTCGGAACTTGGTGTGCCCTCAATCTTCCTAAATGTTGGGGTGGGCTGTGCCACTGAGATATGCGACCACTACTTCGCGGCATCCTTGGGGGCCTGCCAGGGTATACTCTTCCGGATGAAGTCCGAATCCCAGTGCTTAGGGCTTCAGGAGCGTCCTCTCCTCTCCCCACCACGCCTGCTCTTGCACGAGGCGCGGGTGGAGATCTGTCTTTGTACCTGGCTGCCACTTGTAGGGTTTAGGGTTTAGGGTTTAGGCTTTAGGGTTTAAGGTCTAGGGTTTTGGGTTTAGGGTTTAGGGTTTAGAGTTTAGGGTTTAGGGTTTAGGGCTCCAAGAAGGAGATAGAGCTTTGATCAGGAATTAGCTCTGATATTTGCAGCTGCAATAGCTCAATTACAGGGAAAGGGGGTCTGCGTTGATCGCTATGCTGAAGGAGATCGCAGTTGCATGCTTCGGGCTGGGCGCGTGTAGTTCGTATGCTGAACGGACCAAGCGTCTGCCAGGGTAGCAACTCCCGGCTTTCTAAAATGACACTGTTCCTGACCTTGTGATTCGGGCATCCCGCAAAAAATGCACTGTTGCTGCTACACATGTTGCTCACCGACTTGTGCGAACACAATCCTCACTTCACAAAGCCCTCGGTAGACCTGTACTTCAAAAGGGGGTCTACATGAGACCGATATTCCCATCCTGGGCTTCAATGGCTCTTGCTTACGAGGCTAGGCGTCGCAAGAGTTCGCGGGCCCCAGAGACCCAGGTCCCGCCTACGACGGCGTAGAGAGGTTCGCTGCCTTGGGCGTACCTCGTCACCTGGCATGGAACCGCAGAGGGGCTCTCGCGATTTTCTACTACCAGGCTCGAGATCAGGACGCCTGGGAGGCTGAGTTAGCTGAATGGCATTTCGGGATAAAGAAGCCAATGATTCCCTGAACCTCACACCCAAACCCTAAACGCTAAACCCTTTGAGCCCAGTCTCGGACAAGACCCTAAACCCTAAACCCTTTTGCAACTGGACTGCGGACAACTGCCAGGAAAGGATACGACCTCCACTCAAACCCTAAACCCTAAACCCTAAACCCGAAACCCTAAACCCTAAACCCTAAACCCTAAGGTCCGGGCCCTGAGTCGACTCAGGGCCTCACCTCGCCGCAAGCTCCAGCCAACAATTGGCTTTGCCAAGTTGTGGTTTAGGGTTTAGGGTTCAGGGTTCAGGGTTCAGGGTTCAGGGTTTGGGGTTTGGGGTGTAGGATTTAGGGTTCAGGGTTAGGGGTCCATGTACCCATACCGTACTCGACCCCCCCCCCCTCCAACCAATAGGGTGCCCATGATATGGCTCAACTCCCCCACTTCAACTCAGAAACCCTGCCTCAACCCCAAAAACTTCACCCGAAACCCGAACCCCTAGCCCCCAACCCCTAAACCCTAAACCCTGAACCCTAAACCCAAAACGGAGCCTCGTCCGTCCATTTCTCCAAGTTCTGGAAAGACCGTTTGGACGTGACGTCAAAGACCAGGACCACCCCCTGGGCCTCCTTGCAGCCGGGAGGTTAGGGTTTGGGGTTTGGGTTTAGGGTTTAGGGTTTCGGGTTTCGGGCTTCGGGTTTCGGGTTTCGGGTTTAGTTAGGGGCTGCGCAAGGAACCCTTGGAGCTAAACCCTGAACCCTAAACCCCAACCCCGCTACAGTTGGATCGCGTTCCTTACGAAAAACAGATCGTTTGCCTGAGGAGGGACTGCAGCTCCCAACCCTAAACCCTGAATACTAAATCTGAAGCCCCCTGAGCGCTAACCTGGAACCCCTGAAACTCTAAACTCAACAGCGCCCCCCCCCCCCCCCCCCCCCCACCTTTTTAGCCCTCTTGTTTGCCCTTGGCTGTCACTCCCACGTCCCCAAGCCTTGTAGAACTCGTTCCGGACATCGATGAACTTAAGGTCGCCACTTGCCTGTTTGGGGTTTAGGGTTTAGGGTTCAGGGTTCAGGGTTTAGGGTTTAGGGTTTAGGGTTTAGGGTTTAGGGTTTAGGGTTTAGGGTTTAGGGTTTAGGGTTTATGCCTGGGCTGCTCGCGAGGAGGTTTTCAGCGGTTTTCAGGGGGCCCTTCGAGGGTTTTAAGGGCTTTTAATGGCTTTCAGAGAGGGGGGGGGGGCGGTGTTTATAGGCTCGCTTTAAGGACCGACTCACGGGGTGCTTAAGGCGTTTTTAGAGCTTTAGGGCTTTAGGCTCAGCTTCGTCGTATTGTTGGGCAGAACTTGAGGCTTAAGCTTGAGGGATCAGACACCCTAAGCTCATCTTGTTTCAAGAGCAACACCCTACGCGCCGTGCCCAGACCAGGCGCAACACCTGCGTATCACATGGCCTGAACCACCTAAGCCCTAAACCATGAACCCCGAATACGTACAGGCCGGTCTCGAGATCCGAGGGTCCCGCCTGGAAACCAAAACATGGATCGAAGCAGTGCTTCTGATTTTTTTGCTGTACTGAGGGTTTAGAGTTTAGGGTTTAGGGTTATATTAACACAGTCCTATTATTCTTGCTTTGTGTTTGCTGTTACTCTCTAGTGACTTTGTATTCTTCGTATTCTTACTCATCGTCGTATTCCTAAACCCTAAACCCTAAACCCTAAACCCTAAACCCTAAACCCTAAACCCTAAACCCTAAACCCTAAACCCTAAACCCTAAACCCTACACCATGGAAAGCTTCCACACACGCGCCCAAGTTGCGTCCCAGATGTTCACCCGGAAGTCTTTGCCTTGGCACAGCATTTTAGTAACAAAAGCCTGGCGGTGTTAGGGTTTAGGGTTCAGGGGCCCCTTTCGGGCTTTTGTGGAGGGGGTTCCATCACTTTAGCCAACCCTGCTCTTAGGGGGTTTGTGGGCCCACGCGGCAATATCGTTGTGTCTGGACGTGCGATACTTCAGCCTTTGCGGTTTCCGGCATACATTTAAAAAGCTTGCACGTTGGCCAGGGTGGGTAGCTTGCTACACCTAGCCTAAACCCTCAAGGCCTTAGGGTTTACGGCCGCTTTGGCCAAATCTGCCAGCCTCACCCCCACCCGGCCCCGGTAAACCCGGCCTACGATGCCGTCTAATTACGAGCTCCGCCACACAGCCCACACAACTGAACAACCAAACTACTTGCAGTAGCGGCACAGACAGACAGACAGACAGACAATCAGACAGACCGACCCACACGCGCACATATTCTTCTCTCTCTCTCCGTCGCTCTTTCTCTCTCCATTTCCTTCTGCTCAGCGAAGACACTCTCTCGCTGTAACCCTAAACCCTAAACCCTAAACCCTAAACCCTAAACCCTAAACCCTAAACCCTAAACCCTAAACCCTAAACCCTAAACCCTAAACCCTAAACCCTAAACCCCCTAAACCCTAAACCCTAAACCCTAAACCCTAAACCCTAAACCCTAAACCCTAAACCCTAAACCCTAAACCCTAACTCTCTCTCACACTCTCGAGTGCACACGTGAAGGAGATGCCAGGGCAGCCCGGCGGCCGGCGTGCTTGAGCATCTTCACCTTGAAGTCGGCGCCAACCCTAGGTTGAGAGGGGGTTAGGGTTTAGGGTTTAGGGTTTAGGGTTTAGGCTGGTTTAGGGTTCAGGGTTCAGGGTTCAGGGTTCAGGGTTCAGGGTTCAGGGTTCAGGGTTCAGGGCTTAGGGTTTAGGGTTTAGGCTTTAGGGCTTAGGGTTGTTCAGGGCTTCGGCAACACAGCATTGAGTGTCTCTTCGGACTCGGAGCAGCCCAAGCAGTTCACCAACTGGCTCAAGCCCAGACTCAGAAGATGACTCCGCCACCCCAGAATCTCCAGAATTCACTAGAGTCCGTCTCGCTCCACACGAAGTGCTTTGACCAGCAAGTCGAAGAATGACATCTGCTTCTCCCGCCCTACTGAATGCTGGTAAAGTCTACGTAGTCCAGGTCAGCTTAAGGGGAGTTGTAGGGCTTCATGGGGGAGCCTATGCGTGAAGCGTAAGAAGAAGGCCCGAGAATTGAGGCCTACTCATCCCTAAACCCTCTTTCCTACTGGTCTGGCGTCTAGCCAGTCTTGCTGATCCCTTGCTCTATAAACCCTTTTGGCACCTGGACTCTGCATGTGATCAAGGCTGCTCCGTCACCCTTTTGAAGCCGGACTCGCTGTGCTCCGTCACCCTACATAATCGCTAGACCCCAAGCCCGAAACCCCAAACCCCAAACCCTTTTGACCCCGCGAAACCCTAAACCCCAAACCCCAAACCCTAAACCCCAAACCCTAGGCGGTCCGAGGCTCGTCGGCTCACCTTCCTCCATTACCACCGCACCGTCCGCGCAGAAGGAGTGGACCTGAGTTGTCACAGAATTGGGTTTTTGGGGGGTTGAGGGTTCAAGGGGGGGAAGGTTTCAGAATGCTTCAGAGATTTAGTTGAGGGGTTTTTCTTATGGGGCTTTGAGGTGGGGTGCTTGTGGCAAAGCCAGCTGAGGTCACAAGACACACCCGTTTGGCCGGGACCTGCTTGCAGAAATCTTTCTGAATCTGGGGCCCGCGCCAACGTGGACTTTCCCACGCCGGCGTCGCCCAGCGTCATGAGCTTGAGGTTGATCACGTCCTTCATTCGAGGCTTGGGGTTTGAGGGTTTTTGGGTGCGAACCGAAAGTCTGCGCGGGCCCCTTTGAATGACTTTAAAAGTGAGAAGCTCGGCAGCGAAACCCTGAGACCCAAAATGACAGCGCCTTCCAGCCTCAACCAAGCCCACGCCCTCAGTCCTAAAACGCAGCACTGCGTAGCCCCAGAGTCCCCACGAGTGCCTACTTTCGAAGCCCCATGCTCTCTAACTTCAAGATGCGCTGCAAACGATTTACGGCCGAGAACCTCGAGCGACACAGGAAGTCCTTGACAGCATTTGAAGAAATGGGACCCAAAGCCCAAGCCCCTCAACCCGGCGCAATATACTCTAATTGATTAAGTTACTATACTCATAGTAGCAAGTTCATTCCACGAGTTTCATATAAATAGCATAAACTGATTTCAATCGTATAGATAATTGGGGTGTTCTGAGGTGTTTTGATTTCTTTTTGCGTCGGCCGGGGCTTGAGTTGTTTTTTTTGGCAGGGAGTTAGATAACCCTGTCCTCCACACCCCTCTTTGAGGGATTCTACCAGGTACCTACTTCCCAGATTCCGTACCAATACCAAGGGGGGGAGGGCGTGTGTGACTCTCAAGCTGAAGGTTTCCAGGGGGTCCGAAATATAGGGGTCGGAAATATCTTTCTAATAGTATTCCCTTATGCTTCCTTACAAATTATACTATAATGCCCCCAAGAACCCTATATTCTGAGTCTTCAGGCCCCTATATTAAGCCGCCAACCCCGAGCTCTTAAAGCGCTTGCCATTTCACGGGTGGCAAGGCAGAGTTTACATTTAGGGTTTTCGCGCTGCTGCCTCATTGTATCTGAGCAACTGAGCACGACTGCTATAGGGTTTTGGGGTTTAGGGTTAAAAGAGGGTATGGGGTTTAGGGTTTGGGGTTTGGGGTTTGGGGTTTAAAGAGGGTAGTTTAGAGTAACTGGGCATTCTTAAGTTAAGGTCAACTCTATACAATGTTACATATCCTTGCTGCTGAAAACGTAGCCCCGAATCCAAGCTCGAGTTCGACTGCCCTGATGGGGAGGGGGGGGGGGGGCCCGAAGTCTTTGTTACAAGTACTCGGGCCTTGCAGTGCCACACATATGGTCAGTGCTCAAAATCATGGGCCGCCTTATGATCATGACCCCAATAAACCCTAAACCCTAAACCCTAAACCCTAAACCCTAAACCCTAAAGGGACCATGTGGAAAAAGTGATGGATCCCGCCTTTGGACGCGGCTGCACTTTGCGGCGCGTGATCGGCTCGAACTCTGCCATTGCTCCGGCGGACGGTGAAGTGAGGTTTAAGGCCTTTGGGGCTCAGCCGCCGTGAATCTGCCTCAGGAGGTTGGGGCATGTCTCAGGAAGTTGCGGCATGAAGCTGTAGGAATTGAGGGTGCAGGTGGTTTAGGGTTCTGGAGAATTTCAGGGCCCAGAATTTTCGAGCCCGGTGATGTCCGGATCTCGGGTGATGAGGGCTGCTGCCAGGGACTGTGTAGTCTTGGCAACTTGTCATGCTCTGGCCCTGCTTAGTTGATGAGCGGCCTGGGCAAAACAAGGTTAACCTTTCAATTATGGTAGGATTATATACACCAAAAAAGTTACTGGTTGCCTACTCGGCTACTATGTATGCCAAGCTTGAGATCATGGACTGGCATCAAGGCCCTCGACGTGCAAGTTTGAGCCGTGAGGGAAGCAGAGTCTTCAGGCATCTGGGTACTTCTCACTGCCCAGGGTTTGGGGTATTCCCGGCCGAGCTGTTCTAAACCCTAAGTAGGGTTTAGTAAACCCTAAACCCTAGACCTAAATCCCACGAAGCCTTGTCTTCTCAACCTGTTGGTGCCCCTGCCATCAACTTCTGACCTTTCGGCCTCGTTAGGTGGACATGTGGGCAGGAATTCTTCGAGAGCCCCAGACATCAGCAAACCACTGTTTAGGGTTTAGGGTTTAGGGTTGAGGGTTGAGGGTTGAGGGTTGAGGGGGAATCGAAACTTCGAAGCACCCTTTTGCATCCAAACCCTTTTTCCTCAACCCTGAAGCATTCAGACCATGAATTCCCGAGTAACCCCCCATGCTCCAGGGCTCTCTCACAAATCCCCAGTAACCCTAAACCCTAAACCCTAAACCCTAAACCCTAAACCCTAAACCCTAAACCCTAAACCCTAAACCCTAAACCCTAAACCCTAAACCTTGAGTCCCGGATCCTTTCTGGCTGCAGCTGCTGCAGGATTTCGAGCGCAACCCTAAACCCTAGCGAAGCCCAGCAAAGTCAGCAAACGCAGTAAACCCCCTAATTAAACACCCCCCCCCAAGACCCTAAACCTGCATCCAGCCCCAACCCCGTCCTGAAGTGCAGCGCCAGTTCTGCAGCAAACTCCCCCATGAGCTCCTTAAACGTTCGGCTGCTGCGTTTTCGGCGCTGCGTACAGGGATTGTGTGAGGGTGTGCAGTTCACAAGTCGGACAAGCCCCAGGCTAGACACACAAGCAGTGGGGGTTCGGCCCGGCATTGGACCGCATTTGGAGTTGGTGTTTAGGAGTTACATAGGTGGCTGTCAAAATTATGCTCCCTTTTGGGGTACCCTAGATATTAGGTGCCGTATTATCATAGGGATCCCAAAAAAGGGACCATAGTTAGTTTTGACAACCACCCACACATGGCTCACACAGGATCAAGCGGCGAGCCGCCAGCACACCCACAAGCACTAACACCCTACAGTACATGACATACGCACCCCTGCAGTTGCAGCATCGAAATCCAAAATATGGACCTTCAACACAGCATTGTGAGACCTGTGAAAAGCCCACCGTTCAACACAAAGAATTGTCGACCTAGCTGCCACGGCAGGGTTGATATTCAGGTATGCTCAACCCTCCATGATTAGGCCCGACTAGGCTTCGTGGCACTTTACCCTTTCACTTTCACCCATACAGCCCTAAACCCTAAACCCTCAACCCTTAACCCCTAAATGCGAACAGGCATCAGACTCGGCGATGATCTTGGTATGCTTGTCCACCTGAGCCGTTTGCCGCAAGAGCCCGCGCCACGCACCCCACAACATGGGGTTGTCTGGAGGTATACGGGAGAACTACTCTCAACTAGGAAAATCACTTCCCCGAACGATTCCCTCAAACTTACCCTAAACCCTAAACCCTAAACCCTAAACCCTAAACCCTAAACGGCCCTAAACCCTAAACCCTAAACCCTAAACCCTAAACCCTAAACCCTAAACCCTAAACCCTAAACCCTAAACCCTAAACCCTACGAAATAACAAACAGTAGCCTCTGGAAAACTCTTCACAGCCAGGACGCATTCATCTTCAGCATCGACGCGGGATTCGGTGCGGTCAGGGTGCCCACATGGTCCCAGAAGGTCCTCGGCCAAACCCTTTGTTGAACCAGGTTTGTATTATTATTATTATTATTATTCTTATTATTATTCTTATTCTTATTATTCTTATTCTTATTCTTATATTATAGTTTTTTTTTGGGGTGTGGGGGGGGGGGGGGGGGCTAGGGTTGAGGGGTTTAAGGGTTTCATGGGTTTGGGTGTACCCCTGGGTCATAAACCCTAACCATTCCCCCGGTGCACCAAAGCGCTTGTGTTGATTCTTCTAAAGTGCCTTAGGACGGCTGTGATGTTTAGGGTTTAGGGTCTAGGGTTTAGGGTTAGGGTTACATGGATTCTACACTTTCACAGCGTTCTTGTGGTTTGCACGAGGGATGTGAATTGTGGACCGAAGGGCCCAGCTTGGATGGGATTTTTCCCATACCCATCCTCAACTTTGTTGGCAACATACTTACGAATCCAGGAAGCACAGTTCAAAGTCACCCTAAACCCTTTTTTGAAAAAACATCCCAAACCCTCAACCCCTAAACCCGAAACCCCCAAACCCTCTCTCTCTCTCTCTCTCTCTCTCTCTTACAAACTCAGGAATCCGCCAGCCCCATAAACTACTATTTGCTTTAGAACCCCAAAAGAACAAAAAATAATAATCCCTATAATTACCCTTGATAGGGAAGAATATTTCTAGGGGTTCTTAAGCAATTCGTAGTAAATGCGGCACAGCCGCCACAAGGCAGCTTCCGCGATGATGATCTCGTTGTGCGCGCCGACCTTGTTTGCCACAGGGCAGCGGTGAGGAATTGGCGGGCAGACAAATGCACAGTTCAGAGGTTGTGCTTAGGGTTTAGGGTTTAGGGTTTAGGGTTTAGGGTTTAGGGTTTAGGGTTTAGGGTTTAGGGTTTAGGGTTTAGGGTTTAGGGTTTAGGGTTTAGGGTTTAGGGTTTAGGGCTTGTAGGGCAGTGCGGCAGTGCGGCAGTGCTGTCTGCAGCTTCTGCGCAAGATACCCAAGAGAGTCGGCAAAAACAAATTCTGCACGCCCTTTGCAGGGCCCAAGCCATAGACAACACTCTCATTCTCCTCTTCCTGTGGGGGATAGGACTAGGGGGACCCTTGGGGATATAGACCCTCTGAATAAGGTCCCTTTTTAAGAGAGCCAGAAGAGTGTTCAGAAGGGGTTCCCTTTTAAGGGTCCCCCTTATCCTACCAAGGATCCTGGTCCTAGCCTCAAGGCCTGGACTTGGTACAATGGGCTTGCTTGCTTGCTTGCCGGTCAGAACAGACGAGCACATAAATGCCCCTAAACAACTACTTCACAACAGTTACGCCGAAAGCACTAGCCCCTTGCGAAATCCGAGGCTGCAAAGATGCCAGAAAGCACACCTTCCGCTAATATTCTAAGCACCATCGAATTCGCACGGGCAGGTTAGTCTCCGGGCGTACGCAGAACAAAGGGGGGAGAGAGAGTGAGAGTGAGAGAGTGAAAGTGAAAGAGAGAGCGAGAAAGAGAAAGCATCATAAAACGCGTTTGTGTTGCTTGGCTTGCTTGCCACACTCACAAAGCCAACAACGCAATCAATCCATGCCTCTTCGTTTGAGATCCCTGCCTCTCGCAGGTCCCAAAAAAAAGCCCCCTGAGATGCTTTCCTTCAGGTTTCCATGTCACTGACTTGTTCAGAGTTCTAAGTCACCCACTCAAGAACAACAAGCCAACTCAAAAGCCAAAGAACTCAACCCGACGGCAGACCCGAAACCCTGAGTTGCACTTAGGCAGTAAGCACTGCCCACCCGAGCCCTACGTGTTACGTGGTAGCCCAGTAAGCATGATACAACAATGAGGGCACCCTTTCTTTGTTTGGGGAACCCAGAACCGAACAAAACAAGTTAAGGGTATCACTGGGCTGCCAGCCCTAAACTCGAGGCTTCAGCCTATTTGGGTTTCAGGGTACTGGGCATCCGGCCCGCAACTTCCGCTTGACCTTCGAGGTTCTGCGGTTCTGCTGGTACTCCAGGGTTCCTGAGGCGTGCCCCCTTCGGGTTAAGTTTAGGTTGGAAGGTATACTAGGATATGCTAATGTCTACCGTCACACACGGTGACAGACTACACTAGCGACTCTTGCAAAAGTGACTGCGATGTAACATAACAGAATAATCATCCACGATCCTAGGCTCCGGCCTGAGATGCAACGGAAAAGCAAAGAGACATGCAGGACAGCAGCAAACCCTTGCATTGGGTCAGAGGGCCGAAGGCCATTGTTCTTGTCACAAGTAACCAAACACGTATCCTTCCATCTGCTCTAACGCTATCGGCCGCTGTCTCAAAAGATCCCCTTGCAGACTTCTGGCTGGTTCTTTGCAGGGAATGAAAGAACGAGGTACCAATGAACTCCCTTAAAGGGTAGATGGCCCTAATTCCCTCATTCCCGACTAAGAACCAGTGGGACCCTAAACCCTAAACCCTGAACCCTAAACCCTAAACCCTAAACCCTGAACCCTAAACCCTAAACCCTAAACCCTAAGCCCTGAGCCCTCAACCCTCAACCTTCAACCCTATATCAACCCTAAACCCTAAACCCTAGACCTTTCCGGTGCCGATCTCGGGAGGCAAGGCACCTCGCTCGATGAAGTACGCGTGCTTGGCATCTTGCCCTGGAGCCACTTGTGTGTGGTACCATGTTTGTGTACCATTGTTGGGGGTTTAGGGTTTAGGGTTTAGGGTTTAGGGTTTAGGGTTTAGGGTTTAGGGTTTAGGGTTTAGGGTTTAGGGTTTAGGGTTTAGGGTTTAGGGTTTAGGGTTTCGGGTTTGGGGTTTGGGGTTTGGGGTTTGAGGGTTTGAGGGTTTTAGGGTTTAGGGTTTGGGGTTTTAAGGTTTTAGGGTTTAGGGTTCAGGGTTCAGGGTTTGAGGGTTTGAGGGTTTGAGGGTTTGAGGGTTTGAGGGTTTGAGGGTTTTGGGGTTTTGGGGTTTTGGGGTTTTGGGGTTTTGGGGTTTCGGGGTTTCGGGGTTTCGGGGTTTCGGGGGTTCGGGGTTTCGGGGTTTCGGGGTTTCGGGGGTTCGGGGGTTCGGGGGTTCGGGGGTTCGGGGGTTCGGGGGTTCGGGGGTTCGGGGGTTCGGGGGTTCGGGGTTTCGGGGTTTCGGGGTTTCGGGGTTTCGGGGTTTCGGGGTTTCGGGGTTTCGGGGTTTCGGGGTTTCGGGGTTTCGGGGTTTCGGGGTTTCGGGGTTTCGGGGTTTCGGGGTTTCGGGGTTCGGGGTTTCGGGGTTTCGGGGTTTCGGGGTTTCGGGGTTTTCGGGGTTTCGGGGGGTTTCGGGGTTTCGGGGTTTTCGGGGGGGTTTCGGGTTTCGGGGTTCGGGGGGGGTTTCGGGGTTTCGGGGTTTCGGGGTTTCGGGGTTTCGGGGTTTCGGGGTTTCGGGGTTTCGGGGTGGTTTGGGGTTTCGGGGTTTCGGGGTTTCGGGGTTTCGGGTTTTTCGGGGTTTCGGGTTTCGGGGTTTCGGGGTTTTGGGGTTTTGGGGTTTTGGGGTTTTAATAGTTTTGGGGTTTAGTAGGGTTTAGGGTTGGGATGTTCCCCCTTATACTAACAGTCCTTAATGGGGATAACCCCCCCCCCCCCCCCCCCCCCCCCCCCCCGGGCACCATTTTTCAGGAAGCCCCCGCACCCTTGACCGTAAAACGCAGGGTTTAGGGTTTAGGCTTGCTAGGGTTTAGGGTTTCCCTGCAAGCCCGGAATAGTCCAGTGCTCAATTTTGGGCGAAAGCCTTGAGCCGCCTGCCCTGATGATGCCGGAGGTTTCGGGTTTAGGGCTTCAGGGTTTCGGAGCGGGTGCAGGCTTAAAACCCTAAACCCTGAACCCGAAACCTCTCTTTCATATATATATATATATATATATATATATATATGTAATGTGAATGGACTTCGCGGGCAAGTGTTTTGTTTACTTGCCCACGAACTCTTTGACAATTGCGTACGAACTTGTTGACACTTCGATGGCCAAGAGTCACGAAGTTCGTGGGCAAGTGTTGCTTGTTTGCCGCGAACTTTTTGACACTTCGGGAGCCAAGTGTCGCAAAGGTGGGCAGGTGTCAAGAAGTTCGTGGGTAGGTGTTTCTTTCACTCGCCCATCAGCTTTTTGACATTTAGGGGCCAAGTGTCAAAAGTTCGTGGGCAAGCGCTTTTTTGGCAGTGGGGTTGGAAACTAAAATAGTGTCCTAATGTGGTGGGATCCAAAGGGTGGGTGGATATCCGATACCAGAGTGGCGAGCTTGACTTGCTTGAGATGCTGAACCCTAAACCCTAAACCCTAAACCATAGACCGCCCGCGCCAGGCGGCGGCCGGTACAACTGAACGCTACCGCTTCGAGATCTGCTTGCTTTGCCAAGCAGATCGAGTTTGCCACACCTGATGCATCCCTGCTAGCCATAGGGCACAATGTAATAATGGATAACCCGAAACCCCCGACGCGCCACCCCGGCGGGGGAGGCCAGGGTTGCCCCCCACCAGGGTTGCCTTTATAGGGTTGCCCCCGCCATGGTTGCCCCCGCCAGGGTTGCCCCCGCCAGGGTTGCCCTTGCCGGGTTGCCCCACCTACCCCGCCAATGTTGCCCCCGCCAGGGTTGCCCCTGCCAGGGTTGCGCAGGGTTGCCCCCGCCAGGGTCGCCAGGGTTGGGGTTGCCCCCTCCAGGGTTGGGGTTGCCCCTGCCAGGGTTGGGGTTGCCCCGCCAGGGTTGCCCGCCAGGCAGGGTTTGCCCCCGCCAGGGTTGCCCCCGCCAGGGCTGCTTCCGCGAGGGTTGCCCCCGCCAGAGTTGCCCCCGCCAGTCAGGGTCGCCCTTGCTAGTGGCGGCAATGTTGCCCTGGCCAGGGTTGCCCGCCAGGGTTGCCCGCCGCATTCCCTCCATCTCATGGCTCGGGCTGGAACAACCGACACGGGCTTGGCCTGGCTTCAGCTTGGCCTCGAAAGTGTCTTAAACACAGAAGTTAGTAGGGAGAGTTGAGCCTTGATAGGGGCCCCCTGCGCCCCCCCCGGCCAGGGTTGCCCCCATCAGGGTGGCCCCCGCCAGGGTTGCCCCCGCCAGGCCCTCGCCAGGGTTGCCCATCAGGGTTGCCCCCGCCACCAGGTTTGCCCCCGCCAGGCTTCCCCCCTCAAAATGGCCCGCCAGGGTTGCCCCCACCAGGGATGCCCCCCGCCAGGGTGGTGGCCCTACCGCCCAAAATTCCTTTCCAACATTCCAGGGTCGCTCTCCGCAGGGTTGGCCTCGCCAGGGTGACAGGTTTGCCCCCGCCAGGGTTGCCCCGCCAGGTCCCCGATAGGGTTGCGATGCCAGGGTTGCCCTTGTGAGGGTTGTCCCTGCCAGGCTTTCCCCCGCCCCCTCCCCCTCAGGGTTGCCCCCGCCAGGGTCTCATTTGCAAGATTGCTCTAAACAAGTTGTTGCCCCCGCCAAGGTTGCCCCAACCGGGCGCCATGTCGCCTACTTGTGCACCTTCTCAGTGACGGCCCTCCCAGACAACCTGGTCCTCCTTGCGCGCTTGCAAGGCTTCGTCGTCCTTCTCTATGAAGGAACCACAAGCTCCCTGCCAAAGTACTCTATTATTTTTGCCCTCGCCAGGGTTGCACGCCAGGGTTGCGCCTGCCTGGGCTGGCCCCGCCGCATTCCCTCCATCTCATCCGGGTTATTCCGGAGTCCTGCGACCAACATGGCTCGGGTTGGAAAAACCGACACGGGGCTTGCTCTGGCTTAGCTATGGCCTTGAGGGTGTCTTAAACACAGTAGTTTGGATCCAGGACAGTGTAGGCTCAAGTAACAGCAGCAGTACGTCCCATCCCGGCCATCGGGGAGAGTGGAGGTGAAAGCCCCCTTGATAGGGGGGTGGGGGGTAGACCGCTCTAAACGAGAAAAAGGCGGTAGTTTGGGTGGTTGGGGTGGGATCCGCTGCACCGAGGCGGCCCGACCCGCCACCACTCCCTGGCGCGGGTCGGGACCGGGGCGCTTTGGAACACCCTAAACCCTAAACCCTAAACCCTAAACCCTAAACCCTAAACCCTAAACCCTAAACCCTGAACCCTGAACCCTGAACCCTGAACCCTGAACCCTAAACCCTAAACCCTGAACCCTAGTCTCATGGTCTTCATGGTCTTGGCCCAAAGATCTCAGCCGGCTCAACCTCGGAATTCTCGCGGATCCCTGGAGGAGGGGGCCCGGCCTGCTTCGAAGGCAGCTTCGCCTTGCGGATTCGGGTTTAGGGTTTAGGGTTTGGGGTTTGGGGTTTAGGGTTTAGGGTTTGGGGTTTAGGGTTTAGGGTTTCGGGTTTAGGGTTTAGGGTTTAGGGCTTTGGCTTTAGGGTTTAGGGCTTAGGGGCGTGCACAAGGTTTCGTTTCAGCCTTTCATCTTGGGATGTTTCCCCATTACTAACAGTAATAGGGATTATAGTACCCCCATGAAATCCCGATTGAGGACCGTTTGTATAAGGGGGAGCATCCCAACGTCCATCCCTCATTTCGTCGTGCTCTCTGTCTGTTCACTCTCTGCACATTCTGAGAACCTTTCGCACAGGCTCTTCACCTGCCTGCTCGATAGAAAGTGAACGTGATGCAGTCAACCATGATGGACTTCAGCACCGCCGTCTCCACATGCTGGCACCTGGTGCAGTCAGCAACATGTTTCTAGGCCTCAGGCCCCCATAGTTTTTTTTGGGAAACCTTCCCGAGCATCTGAGGCTTTCGAGGATCTGGGGCCAAGCGTTCAACCCTAAACCCTAAACCCTAAACCCTAAAACCCTAAACCCTAAACCACTGGAAGCCCCAAAACTTTAAACCCAAACCCCGAAGAACCCCTCATGCACCTGACACCGCAGATTCCTCCCTCGGCTGAATAGGCTGGATCAGGCAGCCGAGCCCTGAAAACAAAGGTAGAAGGGCACCATCCCAGTAGCTAAACTTACCGCCTCTTGATCGGGAATGAGAACAAAGCCCTCATCTTGCCATCACTTGCCGGGGCACACTCTGTAGAAGCCGTTGCCTTGGGCTTAGGGGGGGGCATGTGGGTGGGCCTTGGGGCATGCAAGGGTGTGAAGACAACTCTTGATAAACCCTGAGCCCTAAGCCCTACAGAAGACGAGCCTCAAATAGTTTGGGGTTTCGGGTTTAGGGTTCAATGTTTAGGTTGAGGGGTGAGGGTTTGGAAAGTTCTAGGGTTCAGGGCTAGCTGGGAACGCCTGAGTCGCAGAGGGGCCTTCAGAGAAGCGATGGGTTCGGATGCAAATTCAAAGCAAAGCAGCCCAACCCGTGTGCAGAATTTTTGTGGCGCTGCCAGCAACCATCAAGACTTACAAGGAGCCCTCCACACGAATACTCTTCAACAAGGGTACGGAAGGCAAACTCCCTAACCATTCCTTCTTGAACCTGACCTCCCCATCCCGAAACCAGCCGAAACCCAAACCCCTTTGTGTTTCGGCTTGCCATGCCAAAAACCGGTACCCTTAGCCACAACCACACAACTGTTAAGCCTCAGCGTCTGAAATGGGAATTGTACCTTCCACCCCGTCATTGTTTCCGAAGCCCTGATCCCTCGTGCCCAGCGGCGCATCAAATATGGCTGGCACAGCTCGAACTGAAGTTCACTCCGCACGTCCGCGGACAGGACGCCAAGCGCTTTTACGTCCTTGTAGGCGGGAGGCTCTGGGGATGTTTGGCCTTCAGGGCAAGACGTGTATATATTGTCACATCGAGAGAGACAAAAAAAGAGAGAAACAACAAAACAAAGAGAGAGAAAAAAAGATACATAAAAAGAGAGATAGAGAGAGAGAGAGAGAGAGAGAGAGCGACCGCATACAACCTAAAGCCTCTAAGCCCTGAACCATGCGAGAACCCCTTGAGCTCGCAATCGCAAAGGCCCTGTCAAACCCCCCCCCCCAACTGCAGCAAGGCGCCGTAACCATGAGCGGCTTCACTTCCTTTGTTGCTCGCAGGGTTTATGGTTTGGGGTTTAGGGTTTAGGGCTTGGGGCTTAGGGTTTCGGGTTTATGGTAAGCATGTGGGCCGTAAACGCCTGAACCAACCCAAGCCCTAAACCCTGCAAGCCCTGCACCTTTTATTGTTTAGGGTTTGGGGTTTAGGGGTTAGGGTTTGGGGTTTAGGGTTCAAGGCTGCTTCCCTTCGACCCGAGATTCCATGAGTCGCTCGTTGGCCTGCTTCTGAACGCCTCGCAAAGGGCTCTCGCAAAGGGCTGGGGATTCTGGCGGGATTTTGGGGGTGCCGAAGGGTCTGAGAGGGCTTCGCCAGGGTTTCAGAAGCTCTTTGGGAGTTTCTGATATCAGGTGTACCTTATCCCCTTATCATAAGGACCCTGATAAGGTAACCCCCTACTATCGTAGACTGCATTTAGGGGTACAACCCGAAACCCGAAACCTTCTCGAAGGTTCATGGGCAGTTATAAGTAGGGTTAGAAGTAAGGTAACCTATACTATAACCTCAATTAGGATACTTATGAGCCTACTTATCACTACCCACGAACCTTCAAGTAAATTGCGAACCCAGACTCAGGACCATGTCACATCGGGCTTAGACTCAGAACCCCTAACCAGGAATTTCTTAAGAACCACCCAAAAAATGAAAAAACCGAAAAGAAACATTCTTCTTTACAAGGGCAATACAGGGATTATGATCTTTCATTTTCCCTAAACCCTAAAGCTTCAGGCCCAAACCCTAAACTCTATAGTTTGGGATTCTCCCCCTTATACGAACAGCCCTGAATAGGGATTCTCATAGGGGGTACTGTAATCCCTATTAAGGACTGCTAGTATAAGGGGAACATCCCAACCTAAACCCTATAGTTCTTAAGCAAGCAGTTGCAAACCCAACTTGGCTTGGGGGGCTTAGGACCTACGCGGCGGAGGTGTGGGGCTTCCCCTCAGCTCCTTAGGAGCTGAGGGGAAGCACCACACCTCCGCCGCGTAGAGCTCCACCAATGAAACAGGAGAAGCTTTTGCAACTCACCCTAAACACCCTAAACCCTAGACCCTGAACCCTATGTAAACCCGAAAAGCCCTCTAAACCCTAAACCCTTAACCCTGAACCGTAAACCCTAGGAATTTTGGACTTGCTCAACCAGGTTTGGCAGGCGTATTGGAGACAGGCTATCGCAAAATGTGGGGTTCGCCAGGTCGTGCGGGATGTCGAAAGGGGCGTGATGTCGACTCACTTGGGCCCGAGCTGAGGGACAGCTTGTTGCTGATGTCCGCCTGGCAAACACAAACGCGGATTTGCGAAGATAAGGGACCCCTAAGGCCCTGAAAAAAAACCCACGTAGTAGGACCCCCTTATAATAAGGACGGCAATAGGGTACCCCTTATGTCGCAAACCCCCAAATGGGAACTGAAGAACTGGCTACGTGGACTTCCCTAGGGTTTCTTCCCCTAAACCCACGAACTCGCCAAGGTGAAACTGCACTCTGCGGCATCCCTGCAAATCCCTCCCGCGCAAATGGTGGCTCAGGGTGCTTTTTGGGGGGCGTCCTGTTTCCCACATCGAAGCATGCCGGCATAGACCCCAAACAGTGCGAGACCGTGGGGACACGAAAGTGCACTCCAATCGTCCAAGAGCACGTTCAGCATTTCGGGTTTAGGGTTTGAAGTTTAGGGATACACCCCAACTTCTCACCTGGAACACTTCAGGGACAACGCAACATGGGAGCATTCCAAGAGCACAGCAGCTCTCTGTCACGCACCAGAAACAATAAAAGTCATAGCCATCACGAGATGCGACAGAAACCCACCCGACCCCCAAAGAGTAGCATCCACTTATAGTAAGGACCCCAAGCAAGGTACCCCGAATGTCGTAAACCCCCACTTGCATCCGGCCCAAGAGTCGGCGGTTGCGACTTTCAGCCGACAGGCGGAAGCCGGATGACACGAGTCAGGAGCCAAAAGCGATGACAGCTTCGCATTTCGCATCCCTGACTTGCAAAGCGATGTAAGCCCAGAATTTCCCAAAAGCGCCGACAGCTTCGAGGATGGCGCACGTCCCAGGGTAGTTTCCGGGTCCCTTGGTCTGGGCCCTTTGTCGGGGAGCCCCTTTACGGTCCAAGGGCCCATACTTCAGAACCCTTAGAAACAGGTAAGGGACCATAGTAAGGGACCATAGTAAGGGACCATAGTAAGGGACCATAGTAAGGGACCATAGTAAGGGACCATGTAACTACCCCCAAGAGGCGGCCACAGCTGTGCCTAGGCGAGAGCGCGGTTTTCGTCCAATAATATGCCAGCAGCCCAAAAGACCAAAAGCAGAAATCTGCAGCCGGAAACGGCCACCGCCCCGTAACTGGTCATACCAATAAGTCCCCCCCCCCCCCCCCTTGCCATTCCTAGTGGGTAAAGTACGCTTGACTACCAAAACGGTACCAAAATATCAGGGCAAGCTCATGAAAGATGCAACCAGGGACGCATGACCCCTCAAATCCCAAAGCCCAAAGTTCCCAACAATCTCGAGGACCCCAGCTCGCTTGCCCCGGCAAATCTCTGCTGGGTTTTCATGGCTCAGCCATCATTGTCTCGGTGAGATCTCTTGGGTTGCGCGCTGGGCGGCTGCAGCTTCAGGCAATCTGCCGTGGCCTGCCTCACAGCCTTCGTAGCCCAGTAGCCATATTACAATAAGGGCACTCTTTTTTGGTTGGTTACTTTATAAGGGAACCAGAACCCAAAAAAGGGAAAAGGGTACCTCTGGGCTACCAAGCAGCTGGACACCCTTTGGCGAAGAGCTTCGAGTTCCTCGCGCGCTGGACGAGTTCGAAGGCCCCAGCGTCTTGCAGGCGCTGCGCGTCGAGCTCCGCGAACCTCCTCAAGGCCTGCACCCCCCAAAGAGCCACCCAGCTGGCGCGAGGGAACGTCTCCATGCAGTCCATGATGATCCTCTTGGTAGCCCAGCAACCATCCCAAAATAAGGGTACCCTTTTTTTTGGGGTTGCTTTCTTGCTAAGGGAACCCAAAACCCAAAAAAACAAAACAGGGTAAAGGGTACCACTGGGCTACCACGTCCTCAGGCCATCCTTCTTCAGCAGCCGGTCGCGGGCGTCGTCCGACTCCGTAATCATACGGCAGACCAGCCCACACCCCTCCTGGACCACCCATTCGGCTTGAGCGTTCATCCTCAGCTCTAGCTTAGGGTTTAGGGTTTAGGGTTGAGGGTTGAGGGTTGAGGGTTGAGGGTTGAGGGTTGAGGGTTGAGGGTTGAGGGTTGAGGGTTGAGGGTTTGGGGTTTTGGGTTTAGGGTCTTGGATACTGTTCCCCACAATAATTCTAAGTGCATGTTACTGTCGTGCTGGAAATAGACGGGAAGAGATGTTGACAAAAAACAGATATGAAGAGAGCGAGAGAGGGGCAGCTCCCGGTGCCTCCCCCCCCTAAAAAAGAGCCTAATTCAAGGAGTCTGCCCCAAGCGTCTTCATGGAATTCAGGACGTCTTCCAGCGCCGTGGTACCCAGAAGAGTGTCGGCGCCGTCCTAGGGTTGCTCTTTAAACCCTCTAGACTCAGGGTTTTCAAGGGTTCAGGGAGGAGAATTCTCCTATCCCAGCCAAGAGGGCCTACCTGAAATGGTAGTCAAAAAAGGGCTACTAAGCACTTGATGTTAATTAAGGTTTTCAAATAGCTTACCTGACTTATAACTCTACTTATACTATGAACCTTCAAGTATCCCTAAACCCTAAACCCTAAACCCTGAACCCTAAAACCCTAAACCCTAAACCCTAAACCCTAAACTCCCCATGAACCTTCAAGTACCTAGCTTCAGGCATCTCGGCGATGTTGCGCAGGGCTTCGCACGCTTCGGCTTGGAGCCTGGATGGTCAGCTTGGGGAGGGGGGGGGGAGGGGGGGTGGATCATGTCTTTTAGGGTTGGAGGTTTAGGGTTTAGGGTTGAGGGTTGAGGGTTGAGGGTTGAGGGTTGAGAGTTGAGGGTGTAGGGTTTAGGGTTTAGGGTTTAGGGTTTAGGGTTTAGGGTTTAGGGTTTAGGGTTTAGGGTTTAGGGTTTAGGGTTTAGGGCCCCAGAAAGGGCCGTGACTTTCACAGAGCTGACCTGATGTTGGTGGGGTACTTCTTCATCGCGTCGAGGATGCGAGGAAGGGCACCGGCCTTCAGCACGATGTTCGGATAGCCTTCCGACATTTAGGGTTTTGGGCTTAGTGTTTAGGGTTTAGGGTACCTTCTTGGGGTCCGTATGATAAGGGAAGCCTACTATATGGGGGTCTATATTAGGGGTCCCTTATTTTCGTAAGCTCCCATATTACAGTAAGGACACCCTTTGTTTGGTTACTTTACGAGGGAACCCAGAGCCAAAAGGGTAAAGGGTACCACTGGGCTGCCAAGCAGCGTGTGGCGCTGAAGGACATGGCGAAGCAGAAGGAGTGCTGGATCTCCTCGTCCGCCAGGAAGGTGGAGGCAGCGCGCACCTATACTCCCCTTAGAACCTTAATAAAAAATATCTTTAATATCCTCTTGGGTATTATATGAACAAAGATATATATAAACATATGTATATTGTTTTTTAGTATCCTCTTGGGTTTTATTATGATAAAAAATAACAATTCCCAAAGGGGGATGTAGGCACAGCATTGGTGTAGGCCACCACTTCCCGCGCGTAGAGGGGGTCCTCCAGCATCTTCATGGTCTCCATCGCCTCCGGCCGGGTGATCTTGAAAGCGTGGGCGCCTGCAGTCGCATCTTCATCGGCCGCCATGCCGCGAGGAGCGTGCTCGCCCTGCTACTGGCAAAGGAAGCTCAGGATTCAGAGCCCCTTTACATGCGGAGCTGTCTTTATGTCTAGAATACAACGGCAGTAGCATGTTTGAGTGCAGAGGCCCGCGATCTTGGAAAACGCCTGTGCTCAGGCCGGGCTCGAGCATAGGGTGCGGCCAATGAGTTCCAAATGCAGCGGTCAGCTAAACGTCGGGTCCTTCCTTGCTTCCCTGGACTTTAACGATAAGAGCCAAAAGGTAGGGTCGCTGTTTGTCCCGAAACCCTAAACCCTAAACCCGAAACCATAGGCCGCCCGCGCCAGGCGGCGGCCGGTACAACTGAACGCTACCGCTTCGAGATCTGCTTGCTTTGCCAAGCAGATCGAGCTTGCCACACCTGATGCATCCCTGCTAGCCATAGGGCACAATGTAATAATGGATTAACCCTAAACCCCGACGCGCGACCCCGGCGGGGGAGGTCGGGCCTAAGAAGCTGTTGCGCCCCCGCCAGGTTGCCCCCGCCAGGTTTCCCCCGCCAGGGTTGCCCCCGCCAGACTTGCCCCCGCCAGCCTTGCCCCCGCCAGGGTTGCCCTAGCCAGGGTTGCCCCCGCCAGGGTTGCCCCCGCCAGGGTTGCCCCCGCCAGCCCGCCAGGGTTGCCCCCGCCAGGGTTGCCCCCGCCAGGGTTGCCCCCCCGCCAGGTTGCTCCCAGGGTTGCCCCCGCCAGGGTTGCCTCCCAGGGTTGCCCCCACCGGTTGCCCCGCCGCCAGAGTTGCCCCCACCAGGGTTGCCCGCCAGGCTTGCCCCCCCCCGCCAGGGTTGCCCCGGGTTGCCCCCGCCGCCCCCCACCAGGCTTGCCCCCGCCAGGGTTTCCCCGTTAGGGTGGGTGCCCCCCGCCAGGGTGACAGCGTTGCCCCCACCAGCAGGGTTCCGGTTGCCCCCCCGAAATTGGCCTCGCCGCCTATTCAGGAATTGTGCACCTGTATGCTTCGTAGTCCTTGTCTATGAAGGGCCCTGCCAAAGTTCTCCATTAGTGGCCCCCGCCAGGTTCCAGACATATAGAAATAAATATATGTTTATACCTCACCTTGCCCCTGCCAGGGTTGCCCCCGCCAGGGTTGCCCCCACCAGGGTTGTCTCGCAGGTTTGCCCCCACCAGGGTTGCCTCTGCCAGGGTTGCCCCCGCCAGGGTTGCCCCCGCCAGGGTTGCCCTGTCAGGTTGCCCCGCCAGGGTTGCCCCCGCCAGGGTTGCCCGCCAGGATGCCCAGGGTTGTCCCCGCCATTTTTCATATTTTTAATCTACATTTTCTATCTTCTAATATTCCTTTAAGGAATTCCACTAATTACGCCGGCGACGACCCCAAACAGTAAGATTGTAGATCAAGGGAAAGCGGCATGAAACAATAACGCGACGCGTAGAACTCGGCAGGCCGAGTTTACAATCAGAAAAATTGGGCTCAGTATGGAGGCGTGGGTTTCAAGCTTCTTTTTGGAGCTGCCAGGGGTCGGAACAACCCTTGCCCAATCCAAACGAGGGATCGACATGGATGTCCCAGCGCTGCCCACATGCATTTTGCCAGGCCTGAAAAATGCATTTGGTCTTGCTTTCTACATTTTCAACGCCATGCTCTCTCTTTCTGTACTTTATCAAGGGCAAAAAAAGCTGAGTGCATTTAGGCACGCGCGAAAAAAGCAGTTGCGCATTCGCCTCTTCTGTACGCAGCTTGTCTTTACGACAAAAGATCAACTCTTAATTCAATTGTATTGTGGTTGTGGAAGGAGCAAGCTGCGCGAATGCATTTCGCCCACTTTGAAAAATGCACCTGAGCATGTTCTTCCTGATTCTGGGTCTGTTTTGGTACTCCTGCAAAATGTCGAACATTGTTCTAAACAAGTTTTTCAATTACTATAGCTACTTTTATGCACAGAAAACACATCAGAAGAATCGAATACGTCATGAGCCAGCAGAAACCAAAACTAAACATGATAGGAAACCAGTGCCAAATGCATTCTTCGGGCAACGAAAAATGCATTTGGAATGCCCTAGAAATGCATGTCGGGTAGATGTTGGTCGTAAAACACCAATCTATTCTGTTTTTTTCGTTTGTTTTTCATGCTGAAATGGAGCAAGGATAACCGAATAGACATGGATGACCAGACGCTGCCGAATGCGTTTTGCCAGGCCTGAAAAACGCATTTGGTCTTGCTTTCCACATTTGCAACGCCGCGTGCTCTTTCTGCACTTTTTCAAAGCGAACACAGCTGAATGCATTTGGGCACAGGCGAAAAATGCATTCGGACTTTGGTTTCTTCCGTACGGGGCCTCTGTCTTTGACACAAAAGTCAGCTATCAAGTGAGTTTTTTGTTGTGTTGTGGTTTTGGAAGGAGCAAGCTGCGCGAATGCATTTTGCCTGCTTTGCAAAATACATCTGGGCACGTTGCTTCTAATTTTAGGCCCCTTTTCGGGAATTTTGCGAAACGGTGATTATGGTTCTAAACGCGTTCAAATCCTATATATAGATTCTAGATGTTCTTACGCGCAGAAAGACATGAAATTTAGAAGTCCTGAGCCGGCAGAACCCAAGATTGCAACATGATAGGAAACCAGTGCCAAATTCGTTTTTCGGGCGACGAAAAACGCATGTGGAATGCCCTCAGATGCATGTCGGGGAAATGTTGGTCGTAAAATACCAATAGACATGGATGTCCAAGCGCTGCCCGAATGCATTTTGCCAGGCCTAAAAAAAGCATTTGGTCTTGCTTGCCACATTTGCAACGCTGTGCTCTTTTTGTGCACTTTTTAGAAGGCGAAAACAGCTGAATGCATTAAAGCACGGGCGAGAAATGCATTTGGACAGAGGCTTCTTCTGTACGCAGCCTCTGTCTTTGCGACAAAAGATCAGCTTTTAACTCAATTCGATTGTGGGTTGTGGAAGGAGCAAGCTGCGCGAATGCATTTTGCCCGCTTTGAAAAATGCATCTGAGCATGTTCTTTCTGATTCTGGGTCCACCCTGCCTCCGCCCCTCTCAACCCCTGTCGCTCATGATCAGAGACCATCGGAGACCACGGACCCAAGCGCGTGACACCCCCCCAGTCCCTGTCGCTCACCACGGACCCGAACCGCGTGACACCCGCCCGGCCCCATTGCGCTCATGGTCGGAGACCATGGGAGACCACGAACCCAAGCGCGTGACACCCTCAACCCCTGTCGCTCATGATCGGAGACCACGGACCCGGACCGCGTGACACCCGCCCGCCCTACTGCACGCGCTCGTGATCCGAGACCGCGCGGACCCAAACGCGTGAACGCCCTCTCAATGCCTGTAGCTCACCACGGACCCGAACCGCGTGACACCCGCCCGGCCCCATTGCGCTCATGATCGGAGATGTTGGGAGACCACGAACCCATGCGCGTGACACCCTCTCAACCCCTGTCGCTCATGATCGGACACCATGACAGACCACGAAACCGGACCACGTGACACCCGCCCAGCGTGCTCAGACACCATCGGAGACCACGGACCCAAGCGTGTGACACCCCCCCAGTCCCTGTCGCTCACCACGGACCCGAACCGCGTGACACCCGCCCAGCCCATTGCGCTCATGGTCGGATACCATGGGAGACCACGAATCCAAGCGCACGACACCCTCTCAACCCCTGTCGCTCATGATCGGAGATCACGAAAGACCACGAACCCGGACCGCGTGACACCCGCCAGCCCCATTGCGCTCATGATCGGAGACCGTGGGAGACCGCGGACCCAAACGCGTGAACGCCCTCCCAATGCCTGTAGCTCACCACGGACCCGAATCGCGCGACACCTGCCCGGCCCCATTGCGCTCATGATCGGAGATGTTGGGAGACCACGAACCCATGCGCGTGACACCCTCTCCTCCAACCCCTGCCACTCACCATGGACCCGAACCGTCCCGCCCCATTGTGCTCACCATGCGAGACCGTCCAGGCGCGCGACACCCTCTCAACCCCTGTCGCTCATGATCAGAGATCATGGGACACCACGGAGCCGGATCGCGAGACACCCGCCCATGAGGAGACCATGGGAGACCACGAACCCAGCGCGCGACACCCGTCCATGGGAAATCACGGACCCGAACCGCGCGACACCCGCCCAGCCATTGCGCTCATGATCGGAGACCACGGAAATCCACGGACCAAGCGCACGACACCCTCCCAACCCCTGTCGCTCATGATCGGAGACCACGAAGAGCCAGCCGAACCCGGACCGCGTGACACCCGCCGAGATTGTGCTCGCGCTGGGAGATCATGGGAGTCCATGAACCCAAGCGTGTGACACCCTAGAGACTATGGAGAACCCTGTCGCTCATGATCCGAGACCGTGGAGATCACGGACCCAAGCGCGTGACACCCTCCCAACCCCTGTCACTTCACAGACCCTACCCGGCCCTATTGCGCTCATGAGGAGACCATGAAAGACCACGGACCCCATTCTGAGGGAAAAACCACAGGCCCGAAGTGCGTGACACCCAAGGCTCCAGTACCCCCAATTGGCCCAATTGTGCTCATGATCGGAATTCGTGCTCATGATCGGAGACCATGGGAGACCATGGGAGACCACAGGCCCGAAGCGCGTGACCCCGGCCTCCAATGGCCCCAATTGTGCTCATGATCGGAGACCGTGCGAAACCGCAGGCCCGAAACGCGTGATACCCGCCAGCGACCACAGGCCCAAACGCGTGATACCCGCCCGGCTCATGATCGGAGATCATGGGAGGCCCCAATTGTGCTCACGACCGGAGACCGTGGGACCAAACGCGTGGACGCCCGCCCACGACCACAGGCCCGAGCGCGTGACACCCACCCAGCTCATGATCGGAGACCATGGGAGACCACAGGCCCGAAGCGCGTGACACCCGCCCGCCAATTGGCCCCTATTGCGCTCATGATCGGAGACCATGGAGACCACAGGCCGCGAAGCGCGTGACACCCACCCGGCCCCAATTGGCCGCAATTGTGCTCATG